CGTACAGTACTGGGCATATCCCGGCATGAAGTTCTTCCTGAGGCCTGAAGACCCTACTTCTTTCCAGTGAGCCTCCGGGGGTTCGTGCTTTCCAATCCTTCGACGCTGAAGGCCATCACGCCGTCCCGGTCACAGATGGGCTTGCATGGTACTTTATAACAGAGGGATCCAGGATACAAAAAAACCCTTTCCTCTCGTGCGATCCATGCCGCGGCCCCGGTTCTGGCAGCGGCCGCCTCCAGGAGGCAGTGCGCCTCCTTGGCAGCCCTTTCTGGCGCACGGCCGGCGACGCAGGGCCCGGCTGTTTGCTTTTGCGGCGCGACAGGCGGGGTCCGGCGGTGCGAGGCAGCTTTGGGCAGATGCGCATGTGCAGTGCGTCCATGCTGCCAAAAGTACAGCGCGTCGTTCTTTGCTGGGAAGCATCCGCTTTTCAAGACTGGCATGTCGCCCGGCTGTTGGTCGCTGCCGTTGTGGCCTGCTTGCTTCCCTTCTTGTTTGACTGCCCCGAAGACCAGGTGCCAGCTGCCATTTGCAGCTGGGGATCGCAGTACTGCCTCGTGAGCCTCCTGGCACGACACCTGGCTGCGGTTCATGGTCGCTTCAGCTTGTAGCCTACCCGCCGCAGGCACGTCCGGATCCGTGTTCTGCTGGCTCGGCTTCTGTAGCGCCTCTGCGCAACCTGTCGGGTACCTCGCGGCGCAACCCCTTGGCAAACCACCGCACTGCATGTGTTGCATGCTCTAATTGAGCGTGGCAGTCGTTTTGACTCGAGGGGATGTGTTTGTGCCATGGCTGTTGGACGTCGCAGTGCGGCTGAGCACGCACTTGCGGCTAGTTCGCATCCTGGGCTGACTCGCTTGAGAACTTCGCGGACATAGAGGTGCGACAGGGTGCAACCTCGCGATTCACGAGAACCCACCTGTTCGCACCCGAATCCCAAGCAACGTTCCCCGGATTACCGACGAATTCCGAACTTCGCTGAACTAGAAGTGCGACCGGGTGCAACCTCGTAATTTACGAAAACATGCGAGAGCGCACCCGTTCGCACCCGAATCCCAAACACAGTTCCCCGAACTACCGACGGATTCCGAACTTTGCGGAAATAACGGTGCGAACGTGTGCAACCATACCTCGTAATTTACGAGGTCGCATCCGTTCTCACCCGAATCCCAAACACCGTTCCCCAAACTACCAACGCATTCCGGACTTCGCGGAACTAGTACTGCGACCGGGTGCAAGCTTACCTCGTAAGTTACGAGCACACCCATTCGCACCCGAATCCCCAACATTGTTCCCCGAACTATCCACGAATTGCGAACTTCGCGGAACTAAAGGTGCGGCCGAGTACAAACTCGTAATTTTTCGAGAACACAGCCGTTCGCACCCGAACCCCAAACACTACAGGCAGGATTGACTGAGGATGTGAATCCACGGTAGCTGCCCGGTAGCTCTGTTGCACTTAGGCAGATTGATGCATGTTCAAAGCAATACGACTGTCAGGGTTACAATATGCTACAGTCCAACACATAGGAATTCCAGCTTAGACACCTGCCGCCGACGAAAAAAACCTGCCTAGACATTTTACGCATTTTACTCGAGGATGGCAGCGGCCCGCATCCCGTGCTACCAGTATCGACGATAGCATCGCCGGCCACTTTCCGTGCAATGCTTGGCCGTTTGTTTCGAGGGTTCAAATTGCCTTGCTTTCCTGCCATGAACCACGAGCTCACCTTAGACTCACCTGCTTTCCGTGCTGTGCTGATGCGCCGGCTTCACTTGCCCTCGCCGCTCGAGGCTTCAGCCTGTCGCCGCAGCCGTCCCGTCGACCCTCTCGCTGTGCTTCGACCGTTGCGGCCTGCAACCATAGCTGCCTTCACCTCCCAATGGTCCGCCTTGTTTGCCTTCTCTGCCGCCAGAGCCTTCGGTGCCTGTCGATGTTGATAGATGTTGATGGCGACCAGCCCCTGCTCGGCGACATTTTCTCTCCTCCACTCACGAAACCTCGTTTGTTGCCACCAGCTGCAGCCTTCACTTGCCTTGGATTGGGACGTGGAGGACGCCGACCTCGCAAGAACAGCGTGCAGCAGCAAGGCGGTAGCCGCGCAGCGAGCATACGCTGCCTCGCTGCTCCAGACTCCCCACACCCGCCGAGCTTAGCGAAGGCATGGAACCCGACATACGTAATGTCCTCGTGGACGCCAGGTTCCCACTAGCCTGCCCCCGGTGTTTTTCGGGCGCAAAGCGGTCCGCTCGAACGTGCAGCCGCTCGGGTTTGCCGTGAGGTTGGCGCTACAGTTGTTACCAACGTCCTTGTCCGGGACCTGAACCTCAATGCTTCCAGACTTGATGAACGTCGCATTCAGACATCGTGAAAGGATTGCCGTTGTGGGGTGGCTCCCAACTTGCTGTTGACACGACGTTAGTGCCGGTGGTTGTGGCAGCACTTCAGGCGCCCACCAGGCCCAGGAACGCGCTCACCTTGAGTTCGCTCGTGCCCATCCGTGCCGACGTGTCTGCTTCGTCAACAGGAAGCATGTGCTGCAGCCTACGTCGCACGGTTTCGAAGCCAACTTGCTACGGCTTGGATCTTTCTTTTGAGCATGGAAGGGTCTGAAAAGTTAGGTGGGGATGAGGGCGTTAGGATGGCTTAAGTGTCTCATTTCGGGCATGGAATTTGTATGTCCGTATGTGGTGATTGTGGTGCTGCGCAGACAGTTTGCCTTGGCGAGGTCGCGCTTGTGGGTGTTAAAGGCATGCCCGTGTGTCCCGTGCGGGTTTTCCAGGAGCAGCCTCTGTTGGCTTGCGAGTGAAAGGGCCCTCGCACCCACAGGCAGTCAATCAGTCAATCAATCTGCAGGCCGAAGCATGGCAGAGCCCAGTCCGGTCCGCATGCGGGAATGTGGCTGGCGGCCATCCCTTCTGATGCGGCGACTACACTCACGCCCGACCTCATGCACCTAGCGCTGAGGCGTCGCCTGCGGCTGCGCTTGCCCATAACCGGTCGGCACTGCGGCGCGGAAGGCCGCCATAGCTGTGGAGCTGACGTCGATGCCCACGCCGACGACCACCTCGCCTGCCCCCGGACCGGCTTGTTGCCAACACGCGGGTTTGTTGTCGAGCGAGCCTTGGTGCAGGTCGCTCGCGAGGCTGCCGGAAGGTCGGGTTGTTCCGCAGCAGTGGCTTGCGCGCACTACTGCGCCGCAAGTCCACGCCGACGACCGTCGCCGCCTCGACTTCGTTGTCTACGGAGCGACGACTAGTGGCGAGGCCTTGTGCTGCAACGCCACGCTGGTGTCCCCACTTACACGTGCTGGTCGCCCCGTCTCCGGTGCTGACGCGCGGGCGGGAGTCGCACTTGCTGCGGCGCGACGACGCAAACTCGCGCGCTACCTCGAGCTCACCCGTGGCGGGCCTCAACGGCTCGTTGTCCTCGCGGCTGAAGTCGGGGGGCGCTGGAGCGACGAGTGTCAGCAGTTCCTCCGTACTTTGCTCCGGCTCCGGGTCCAACGAGCCCCGCCGCTTTTGCAAGCCTCCGCAGCCCAAGGCTGGGCACGCCGCTGGTGGAGTGTGCTGTCAGTATAGCCCTGCAGCGAGCCGTCGCCAGCTCTGCGTTTGGAGTCTGGTCCATGCCGCCGCTGCCTGGTGCGCCTGACGTGCTTCCACTTGGCGACGTGCTTGAACTTGCGGATGTGAGCGCCCCCAGTCGGCTGCCGCCCCGATAGTGCGACGCAGTAGAGACAGCTGGGTAGCTTAGACGGCGTTGGGACAGTTCGAGCGGACGCACAAAGGCGCGAAAAAAAAAGGGGGAGATTCGCATATTTTTTTCAACGCACATTTTTTTCCCAGTGCACCTTTTTACGCCTGCGCAAAAGAGTCCGGTCCCCGTGCACACTGCAAACTACGGCAGGCGGCTCGGGGTGGGGGTTGCGTCGTGCAGGACGTCCAGAGCCGGGCATGGCCCCAGCGGTGTACGGCGTGCCGAGCAGCGTTGCAGCAAGTGTGCTTTGCAAAGCAACACTGAGCAGGCACCAGTCACGGCGCAGCCAGCCCTGGGTCGCGTTTGTTGAAGGGCCGCCGGAAAGCGAGTCTATGTCCCAGTGCAAAACTTCCTCCCTAGGAGGTTCGGAGTCGCAACTACAAGAAGAGTAGCCGGCACGATCGCCGATTTGATCGCAAGCTTGCTTGATTGATTTATAGCCTTGGTATGCCTTGGTGATTGATTAATTATGGCTGACTGATTGACAGATTTACTGCTTCATGATTGATTGATTGAGTGATTGAGTGATGGAGGAGTGATTGAGTGATTGAGTGATTGAGTGATTGAGTGATTGAGTGATGGATTGATTGATTGATGCTGCCTCCGTCGCCTCTGGTGTCGTGGTCAGCCACTGGGCGAGGTTGCGTGGAACGAACTTCCTTGAGGCAGCGGCGAACACGACGCCAGCGCCGAGGGCTCATGGACGCTGCCCGGGCGTTTGCGCATGTTGGCGCTGGCAGCACGGCGCTTCCGCTCATGATGTTGCTCGCCTGAACACCCCCCGCGCTTCACATGCTGGTCAGATCTTGCTGCTTGTTCCGTTCCTTACATTTGACAAACACCTACCGAGGCAGGAGTTCGCCACCATGGCTTCGCCTTGGCGTCGATGTGGCGGACGGCAACCGCCCCTGCAGTTTTTGTGCCCAGCCCGCGGTTTCCAGAGGCCGGCACTCTGCATTTGCAGTATTCGCAGTCTATTACCCTGTCCGAAATGTTGTCCATGACTACTGTGATTTGGGCGGCTTACGCCCGACCTTGGAGGCACTTCATATACATGTGTAGAGTTTGGCAGGCTTGGGTGCACATGCATCATTCTAGTCTTGTTGCTGCTGTCCGCCATTTTGGCTCAAGTCTGATCCAAAACGGCGGGCAGCTGATTTTGGTGGGGAGTTGACCCCATTGTCTTCTGTGTTCCGAGGGAGTGACCCTCTTTTTTTCTTGAGGGAGTGACCCTCTTCATGCTATGCAGGCGGATCCTGCAGCATTGTATGCCTTCGCCCGCCTGGCTGTGCATACAGGTACGCAGTTGCTCCACCCGGCAGCCCTGCTGGAGTTCAGGGCCAGGCTGCGCGAGTTGGTCGAGGCAGGCCAGAGTTATGAGGCCGCCTTGCTGTGGGGCTCAGTTTTGGAAGTGCAGCATTATCCGCCACCTCCCCGCGGGCTGCTGGAGGGCCTTCCTCCCGGGGTGCCCCCTATTCGCACCGTGCCGTGCGTTGAGGTTGGCTGTGCCAGGTGCCGGGAAGGCAGGGGTGGCTTTCGCTTCCCGTTTGTTGGTACATATGCACGCCGGTCCATCGTGGTGTCGGCAGCAACCTCTCCGGCTCGAGCCTGGGAGGGTTATCACCAAGGGGGCGATGAGCGCCTCAGTTTTGCGAATGTTTTCGAGATGGGGTCAGGCTTGTGGCCAACGGACATGCTGCCGGACCATGCCAACCGCCTGGTTCAGCCGGTGGGCGAGGAGGCCCATCCTCGGGGAGCGACCCCGGGTCAGTTGTGGCTGCTTTGGCGTGACTGGCAGCAGGGCGAGCTTATTTGGAGAGAGCCAGCTTATTACCCGATTCCAACATGGGCCGAAGGACGGAGTGACCGTCGTGCCCGGGCCCATCGCGCCCTTTGGCTTTTGCTGGGTGCCATCGAGGCGGGATTGGCTGTTCTCCCGGCTCCTTGCAAGAGTTGCGGCACACCGTCAGTTTTCATCTGCCATCGTTGCCGAGAGCCAGCATGCCTTGACTGCTCGCATTCCTGCCTCTGCGGCTCATAGGTTGAGGGTCTTCCTTGCTGCTTCTCTGGCCGGGCCAATGAGCGGCATCTACTCAGTGCAGGCGATGGAGGGGCAAGCAGGGGCAGTGGATGCCCCGCCTGGCACTGCGGCGGAGACGGTGGTTGACCGCGTCGCGGCAAAGAAGGTGCTGGCTTTTCGCGAGATGCACGGGCTCCTTGAGGATGGTGACTTCGCTTACGCCTTCGCTTCCTGGGAAGAGGCCGCCTCGAATGCCGGCCATGCCGTGGCGGATGCTTGGTCTGAGGTTTCCCAAGACCTTCAGGACGATGCGCTGTTGAGCTTGGTGGACCGTGCAGTAGCAGCAGGGGCTGCGGCTGCCGAGTCGGCCCGGCCAGTCGTCCGCCTTAGCAAGCTTGTGAAGCCGGTGGGCGAGACAGCGCCACGGAAGCGGCGGCAGTCGGCTGCCCAGGTCTCGGGCCCTGATGCAGGCGAGCTGGCCGACTTTATGGTGGAGGCCGGAGCGCCAGGAGTGGGTCTCCTTTCTGAAGGTGCTGGCGGCGAACAAGGTTGCCTCTTCCGAGCATGCCACCGTGACCAGGGCTCTCAAGACCTTGCGGGAGCTGTCACAGTGGCAGCAGCTTCGTGGTCGTGCTGCGGGGTTGGGCGATATCGACTCCATCGACTTGTTCGCTTTTCTCCGCGAGGGCACGCCAGCACCAGCTCGAGCGTTATCCGGGCTGCGTTGGTTCACGAAGATGGCCAATCTCCCGTGGGAGCTGGGAGGCGTACAGCCGGCGCCGACGCTGGGGCGGGAGGGACCCGCTCAAGCGGCAGTGGCCGAGCCGGGTATGCTTGAGGAGCTCGAGCACAGAGTGGCCCAGATGTATGACCAGAGCGACCCCAGGTGGACGTGCCTCTTGGCGGACTGGCTGATCGCCAGCGGGTGCGTGCGGCACAAACATCTGGCCAGATCGTTCCCGGTGTGTGTCACACAATCTACTGCCCACTTCTTTTGCTCTCGTGGCAAGCAAGCCCACTCGCGAGCCGGTTTCAGATGGGCAGCTCCGTCCCACTTCTCCTGTGGGTTTGCATGGGCCGAGGCCTGGGTGGAGTTTTACGGTTCCCTCCCAGCGGCTGCGAGGAAGCGGTGTGGCATCTGCTTTGACGCTGCTGGGCGTCCGTGGGAGTTACGCCAGGTCACTCTGCTGACGCAGGAGATTTTCAGCGGTCTGGAGCCACCGGTTACCACCTACTCGTGGCGGAGAGTGGCCCCCTCGGTCGGCTCGCTCCTCCAGCTCGACGAGCTCAGCTTGCTGGCACTTGGTGATTGGGCCGATCGTGGTAAGATTCGCGAGACGGGCGCTTCCATGCCGCTGCATTACAGTGGTACGAAGTATGCCATGAGTGTGCGTGTCAAACACCTGGTCTGGTCGGCAGCCTCCAGGTGCCTTACCTACGACACATGGTCCGAGGTCCCGCCCAGCATGCTGCAGCGAGAGGAGTCGAGCCTTCAGGCCGAGGTGGCGGAGAAGATCAGGTTGGATTCTACCGTCATTTGGAAAGCCCCAGCTGGGACGCCGGGCCCTGAGGCGAAGCTGGCTTTCAAGACCACCGCGCTGAAGCTTCGCCGCCAGAGTCGGGCCACCACAGCGGGAGAGACCCGCCCTCGGCCAGCGGAGCCAGGCATGCCGCCACAGGTGAACGGCAGAGTCTGTTCGGCGTTCCTGCGCAATGGTAAGCGGCTGTGCCCCGCCTTTCAGTCGGGGTCCTGCAGGGCGGACTCATGCTCGCTATCACACCTCTGTGCTACAGTCCTGCGGTCGGGGCGTGTTTGTGGCGGGCGGCATCCAGCTCGAGATTGTCACGACAGACGCCGGATTCACCCTGAGGACGTTCCGCCAGCGATTTCAGCGCCTCAGGAGAGCCCAGCGGGAGTGACCCGCCCTGCTTTGCCTCGCTCACGGCCACCCCCGTTGCCATTGGCCGCTGCTTCCTCGCAGCCTTCCTCGGAGTTGGTGGAGATTGAGGTGGAGTGTGGGATACACCCGGCCCAAAGCCTAAGCCGAAGAAGATGCCAAAGGCGAAGGCAGCGGTTCGGCTGACACCGCGGGGCGAGCATGAGGAGCGACCTCGAGCCTCGGCCTCGTCTCGGCCCGCCGCCTCCGCGTCACATCGGGCTGCTGGCACTGCTGTGCCTTTTGGTGTCGTGGGGGGACCCGACACTTCCGCACGATTTCCTTTTCGGGATGGCGGCAGTCGGCACAGCCCCAGTCTATGGTGTGTTCCCCCTTCAGTCCGCGCGTGATATCTCTCACGCAGAGGTGCTAGCTGATGCCTCGGCATCCAACGCTCGGGTGCGGGCGAGCTTGCGTCCGGGGCGGGACGATGCATTCCTGTTGGAGCAGAGCCTTCGTGATGCCGAGAGCGGGTTCTGCTCCGAGCCACTCCGTTACCCATAGCTCCTTCGAGCAGTGGGTGGTGTTCCTTTTCGCCTGATCCCACGCTGCGTCATTACCCAAAGCAGCGGCAAACAGCGTATTATCGACAATGCCGACACTGGCGGCCAATCAGAGCTGAGCTCAGATCCAAACAAGCTCGTTTTGTGTTCCCCGTTGCGGCCGGCACAACATGCGGCGGCTTTGCTCGCTTGTCTCGACGAGCCGTCTCGCCAGCGGGCAGCTGCCGAGGATGCGCTTGAAGGTCGGGGCGAGGACTGGCCCGAGGCCTACCGCCACTGCCCCATGGATGGCGCATCATCCAGGTGCTGTGTTGTGGTGTGGTGGCACCAGGACTGGGGTGAGCCAGCCTATCAGCTCTACACTGGCTTGCTGTTTGGCCTCCCTTTGGCGGTTACGAGCTTCAACCGCTATAGTCGGGCGGCCGAAGCTTTGGGCCGGCGCCTTCTTGCCATTCTTGTTTCCATGTACTTCGATGACGCTCACCTCACAGACTGGGCTTCATCCAAGGGCTCCGCGCAGTCTAGCTTTGCTGGCTTGAACACCTGTCTTGGCTCCCCCTTTGCACCCGCCAAGCGTCAGCCGATGGCCTTGACAGGTACCTTCCTAGGCCTCAACTTTGACTTTGAGGGCTGTCTCCATTCTGGTCTCGTGCGCTTCTTTGTTCGCGATCGGCTGGTCTCGAAGGTGCATGATATGTTGGATCAGGCTCTCGCTTCCAGTTCCCTTTCCCCAGGCCTCGCAGCTAAGATTTATGGGACCTGCAACTTCCTTGAGCAAGGGATGTATGGGCGCGTGGGCGCCGGTGGGCTTCGCGCGATTCGCGAACGCTCAGATGAAGGTGGCCGGGAGCTGACCCCGCCAATCCTTGCTTGCTTCTCTCTCATCCGCGCAGTTCTGGCGGTGCGGCCAGAACGGGAGTTCGAGGTGTTGCCCCAACCCGTCGCCCGTTTCTGTGCTGCGAGCGACGCAGCGGAGGACATTCCCGGGGCGGGATCCGGCGGCTTCCACCTGGTGTGGCTTGATGCCACGGAGCTGCGCGAGAGCTTCATAGCCCACATCGGTCCCGAGGTCTATGCTCAGTTCTCTCCGGGAGAGCATAAAATTGCCCAACTCGAGTTGGCGATGGTGTTGTACGCCCTTGCCGTTCGGGCCCCTTCTTTTCGTGGGCGGCGTGGCTACTGGTATATTGACAATGTAGCCGCCCTGATGTCCCTCATCAGAGGCCGGTCGAGCTCTCCTGACCTCGAATGCCTGGCACAGCTGATTCACATTGCAATGTTTGCACTGCGCACTTCTTTCTTCTTTGAGTACATTCCGTCGAAGACGAACTGGGCTGACGCCGTCAGCCGCGTCGGCTTTGCCGACCCATGGCTCCACCAGCGTGGCTTTTCTTGCCACATTGCTTCTTTTCCCTTTCAGCTCGTGGGTCTCCCCTTCCTCGCCGTGCTGCGGGTGTTCGAGTTTCTGTGAAGGAGTGCTTTGGGGCTAAGTGCATTGGGTATTCCGTCCGGGGTTTTGCATCTGAAAGGGGTTGACCTTTCGTTGCATCTCGTTACCTCGAGGTTTTACCAAAGCACTATCCCGGTGAGCCCGGGTTCTCCTTCATAGATTCGAACGTGTTGCAGCTGTGGGTGCGAGTTGCGAAAAAGTGTCGAGCACGAGCTGGTAGGTTGCTGCACAAGAGGGAATGTATACATGTGTAGAGTTTGGCAGGCTTGGGTGCACATGCATCATTCTAGTCTTGTTGCTGCTGTCCGCCACTTTGGCTCAAGTCTGATCCAAAACGGCGGGCAGCTGATTTTGCCCACCCACCCACCCTGATTAGACCCGGCCTCCCGTGGAGTCCCCCGGTCTAGTTGGGGTTGCGCGAGTTGCGACTACCTTGAGGTCCGAGGGAGTGACCCTCTGCCTGGGACGGGTATTCCGTCCGGGGTTTTGCATCTGAAAGGGGTTGACCTTTCGTTGCATCTCGTTACCTCGAGGTTTTACCAAAGCACTATCCCGGTGAGCCCGGGTTCTCCTTCATAGATTCGAACGTGTTGCAGCTGTGGGTGCGAGTTGCGAAAAAGTGTCGAGCACGAGCTGGTAGGTTGCTGCACAAGAGGGAATGTTTCGTGATCGCAGACTTACAGACATTTTCTGGTGCAAACTTGGCCTACTTCTCACACGTTTGCCGGCTGGCAGTAAGTAGCATTGCCCCGAGCCATCCCGAGCCCATAGCCTGCAACGCCGCGGTCATCTAGACTTTCGGTGAACGCGATTGGCGAGCTTCAGCTACACGAGCCCGGCAGCCGCTTGATGCCGCTAATGCCGCTCTCAAACGGTTACGCTGCAACACCGCGCAAGAGTGCCATCATGTTGGCACAGACTTTTGATCATGAAGCCGACGCCATCATTCTTGGCATCACCATATACAGGTTGGCACGACACTGCAGCGCGACGCCACTTCAATCGAACCGGAAATTCTGAACAAACTCGCTGTTGTGCTTTGCCGATCTTTGCCTTGTGGTTGCGCATTGTATCAACCCGTGCTAGCGCAACGATGTCATTTTGATTGACAGCCGGATGGCGTAACCACCTTCTCTTCAAGAGTTCCACACCGTGTCGACTCGCCGTTTACACCACCGTCGATGTGTGTTGCGCCCATGGGTGGTGGCAGTTGCTGTTCCGATCCGTGCTCGGCCAGCGACTTGTTGGGATGGGCAGCCGACACTAAGCGAAGTCGTCGAGCTGGCCGAGCCTGCGCTATCTTCCTTGCTGCCGCTGCGTGCCCCGTAACCGCACGGCTGGCGCCGCTCGTAGCGACAGTAGCCGACCGACCTGACCACTTTTTCGCAAGCGGGAAAAATTTGTTGGGATTGCTATGGATTGCTGGAGCAACGGTGCCCGCAAATTTTGGCCATTCTGCCAGTTCCCACGTGTTCCTCATAAGTAGGCGGCGCGTACATGCTCGGAGTGCTTTGCGGACATGATCATGGTAACATGGATGTACCGCTGGCGGACGCACGCCGCGCCGAGAGCCCGCCGTCGTGTCGGCCTGGCAACAAGGCATCGCACTTTCTGCTGCACGTGAAGAAGGTCCAAGTTCCAGCGCCAACTGCAGCCTACGGCGGCAACTCGCGACTCATGCAAGGGCAGGGAGGCGGCTGGGCTCAGGAGCCTCCTGCCAGCGAGCATCGGCAAGGAGCTCGTGCAAAGCTGGTGGCAGCACCAAGCTCCGATTGGAGGGGTAGCTCAAGGAAGGTGGCAGCGAGCGCACGCTGCGCCGCAACGGAACTCCAGCGGAGAACCCAGGCGGCTTGGGCGGCGTTGCGCAAAGCGGCGGGGGCAGCTGCGGCCCGCGCCCGGGCGAGGAGGCGAACAAAAGTGGCAGCTTCCTCAGCCCAACGCCCGCCGACCTCGAGTCCGAAAACAACAAGGCGACAGTGTCGGCTGCGGTCGATCTCGGGGTACGTCTGCCTGCGTTTGCGCCGCGCAGCACCGCGGACGGCCCAACCCGGGTGGTGTTCAGCGCCGTTATGCGGGCGGCCATGTCGGGTCACCGGGCTGGCAGCGTCGCGTCAATGGCAAGCTGTGCGCCGTGCCAAAGCGGGAGGCCGTTGCAGACGACCTCGATGCGCCGAGCGAAGCAATGCTTACATATGCGGAACATCCCTCTCTCTTAGGATCGACTAACCCATGTCCAATTGCTGTTCACATGGAGCCCTTCTCCACTTCAGCCTTCAAAGTTCTCATTTGAATATTTGCTACTACCACCAAGATCTGCACCAGAGGCTGTTTCGCTCAGGCTTGCGCCAGAAGCTGCACCACAACCTCTGCGCCCTCCTACTCACTGGTGAGAATTGCACCAGTGGTCGGGCATCGGTCGCCCGCTTGAGCGCCGGCTGCCCACACGCTTGTGCATTGTGGCCGACCGCCCACCAGGCTAGTATCCAACACGCCGCCGGACAGGGATGCTGACTACACCATGTCGTTGTCGGAGCTGGCCCGCTGGCGAGCGCTGAGCAGTGCGACGGCACCCTGCCGCTTGTGCAGGGCTGCTGCCGCGGGCCTTGGGTTTGTGTCGGGCCGGTAGGGTGCGCTGACGTTGTCGACATCGAACCGTGCAATTTGCCAGCATGGCGACACGCTGAGCAACCTCACCGGAGGAAGACTCGCAGCGTCAACATCGCGACTACATGAAGCTTGCTGCTGTCCACGCACTAGCCAATTCGATTATTCGGTTTGGCGGAAGGCTTACATGAGCCCACATTGCTGTGCATCGGAAGCTGCTGTTGTGGCAGCTTGTTTTGTTTGTTTTTGTTGTGCTGTGTAAAGGTGCTTGAGTCCGGGTCCGGGCTCTCCGTGTGCCGCCGGCTCTCTGACCTGCCGCCTCCGCTGCCTGGACACGCAGGTGGAGGGGCATGCTGTCGAGCGCGCTGCAGCATGCCGTGGGCGGCACGGCCCTGGGAGCACCGTGGCTGGCCTCCAGAGGCGCCGCAGGGTGCGAACCTGCCTGGGACCACGTGTTGGCGCTCGCTGAGCCAGCTGGCCCATGCCGTTTCCTGCTGCGCCAAGAGCGGGACATGCCCATCACCGTCACACGACTCCGGACAGCCGAATGCATTTCCGGGCAAGAATATTGTATTCGAAATCCAGAGTGTTTGTTCTGTGCGAGCGTTATGGTGTTTTGGGCAGGCGATGGCAGGCGTTTCTTTTCACATGGCGGCCACTGTCCAAGAGCACCCGGCTTGCCATCACGCGAGGGCCGCGGCGCAGATCTTGTGGAGGTCGGGCGCCTCCCGCATCGCAAACGTGACCACCAGGCGGCAGTCCCGGGAGCATTTTCTTAATTTTCCAGAAGGGCACTGTGGACACAGCCTGTTGCATCCTGTTGCCCTAACTTGCACTTTCTTCGGCCACTTCCGACGCGCAGTCAGGGGACGGGCTTTGTGGAAAACGGGCGAGTTTCTGAGAGTGGGTTCTTTCTTTTGTTTATTACGGGGACATGAGCCATTCCCTTGGCCGACGGCCGCCGGATGGAGCTGTTGGCCGACAGCTGTAGGCTCTGGCGAGGTGCGGGCGGCGGTCGACATCATGCTCGCGACCTTTGTGGCGCTGGCGGGCGGTGAATGAGTGAGTTGCTTCCGCCCATGTCGTTGTCGCAGTCGATCGCCGCCCTCGACTTGTCGTATACGGAGCTACACCACTTGGTGGGGCGTTGTAGTTTGATGTTACTTTCCGACGCGAGGGTTTGCTCCAGCCGTTTGCTGCTGCCTTTCGCGATGGAGCTGCCATCGCTGTTGCAGGAAGCTACAGCGCGCAGCCACCTACCCTAGGTGAGCTATTGCGACATGTTGCGACCGGGGCCGCAGCGATTGTGCGCCTGCGAACTTGGCGGGTGCTGAAGCGCTGCGTCGCGCCGTCATCACTCAGCTGGCTCATTTTTCGAGCGTGGCTTCGCAGCCGACGGCGACGCCATGGCTCCTTCCGCACCCTCTCCCACCCCAAGCCTGTTTGATTTAACCCGTACTGTACAACATGCACGGGGACCTGGACTTCCTTTTTGCGGATTGTGCTTGAGTTGCCATTGTATTGTGTGCAGCGGATGGTATAGCTAGTGCCGCGCATAGACTTGTGGAGCCACCCTGCTGCTCACAAAGAGGAGGATGGCTGCGTGTTTCGGAGCCTCGGGCTCGAAGATCCCCCGAGGCCTAGGTCTGCCAAACTTTCGTTCCTGTTCTCTCCATGGTTTTTCGTTTCGGTTGTGCGATTCAAAAATTCGGGGATGCTACGGGTATCTGCAGGTTTGGGGCCAGGGCTTTGTACGGTTTCAATTTGGAGGTGCTGGTATCGTTCCAAAAGCAAACCTCAGCTATGTTGACCACACCTCACAAAAAACCCACACCCAAACCCTATGATTGGGCGCGTGCTTGTGCCGCTGGTGGTCTTCTCGCGGCTGCTGTCGGGCGAGCGCACGGGCCCGAGCCGGGCTTACCAGGAAGTGTTTCGGGCTTACGGATTCAAGGTTAATTGAACATGTCATGGGCGTCACGGACCGACCGCTCCAGGAAGGATATTAACCGGTATTTCCAACGTTCCCAGTTCCCGTGTTCCGATGTTCGAAATTTGAGCCCTAGGTGTACGCGGGTAGGCCTAGACATAGGACCCACCGACCGACCAGACACGAAGTGGGCAGGAAAAAGGCTCGATGGGAAGCAAAAACACTTGCCGGCATGGGCCTGGGCTTCACGGCAGGAACTTCCGTCAGATTTGAGCAGAACTTCAGACATGCCGTCGACAGTTACTTGGGCCGGCGCCTCAGCCGATGCAATGTGAACAGGACATGCATTGAAAGCTCCGCTGCGCAAGAGTGTCGTTGACGGCATTAATTTGGTAGCTTCCCACCTGGTGACCGAGACTGTTGACCTATAGGTGTTGACCTTATGTCAAGGTGTCTTCAAGAACCGGGTGAGACTGAATGACCCATTGCACCTTGCAGAGGACGGGGCATGAAAGGGTGGCCTGGAATTAGGTAGCTTTTCAAGTTGTGAAGTGGTTTTCAATCTCCCCACGAGCCTCCCCGGTTCAACCTTTGGTGGCAGGCTTCCGTTTTGCCGGGTGCGTGTCCCGGCGGCATTCTGCAGCTCTCCGGAAAGTACAAGGCCATCAATTCCATGAATTGCATGTAGAAGTGCATGCGGTCATTTCTTAAGTGTTTCTCGGTCGTTTGCTTCTGACAGGTGACCGAAGCGACCACCATCCCGGGCCCATGCCAGGTGACGGGGCATGGTGCGGAGCTTATACGAGGGCTTTTGTGACAAGCATGTAGCGTTTAGACGGTTTACAGTAGGGTTTTTTGGATGTGTGGGGTGCATGGGTGGAAGGCAGCTTTCGAGTTGCGAACTTCCGAGGTGAGTTGTACCTGGATGCGCCCGTCACCATTCGCGGTGACAGCAGCTTCCTGGGCCAAGTAACTGTCAAAGCAACCCGGCAGACGGAACGAAGCTACCATGCAACAATGGGCGGCCCATGCCTTACCATCATTGGCAGCTTCATTCTGCACCCTGGCGCACGCTTGCACTTCGAGAGCTGCCGGAATGGGCAAAACACGTCGGACGGCTCTCTCGGCGGTGGCTTGCGAGTGGATGCTGACATGGACCTCCGTGGAGGGCACCTGCGTTTCGAGAATTGCAGGGCCGACGGCGACAGCTTCACCACTGGGGCGGGAGGCGCCATCTACGTCGGAGGCGCGAGGGCCACCAAGGCAAGGCAGCCCCAAAAGCTCGACTCCTGACCTGCGGAGGCCATTTCCGAAACAAGAACTCCACCATCGAGGCTTTCAACTGCAGCGGCACAAAAGGAGGTGCGCCGAAGGATCGTTGGCCCATGGTTGCAAAAACAAAATTACCAGCTCGAAACACAGGATCCAGTGCTTCATTTCCCGTTCGCGAGATTCCGAACGTTCTAGTCAGCCAACGTCTTGGTTGGAAACATGTCCTGGCGATTGCTTAAAATCTTGCAGCACCAGGAATCAGGGACGGCTTAGTCTTTAGGGTGTAGAGTCGGCTGACCGTATCTTCGGCCAGGCACCATCCGAGCCACAAAGATGGAGATATCAGGCGGGAGCTAACGAGCATAAATGATGCTACTGGGAGGTTCATGGGTAGTTAAAAGTTGGATTATAAGTAGGGTAACTAAAGTTAATCCATATTAGGGAGTTATAAGTCCACTTATAACCACCCATGAATCTCCAAGTAGCCGCCGCTAGTATCGACTCTGGATGGCAGGATGCCCAACCCTAAGCCCAAAATCCTAAACATCTAATGCCCAATCCTTAAACTGCGACCCAAATCAACCGACCTCTGCCTTTGAAAGCTCCCCAGGTGGTCTGATTTCCATCAACAGCTCCTTATCCATTCTTGGTGGAGGCCGGCCGTCCTACTTCCGAGTTGAAGTCCCGATGCAAAAACTGCTCTTAAGAAAGGCTGTTGGGGCGTCGAGCAGCGGCTTTTGATGTAGAGTTTTGCTTTGCTTGGCTAAAGTAGGCCGAGGTGCCGGATCATGCTCAGGGCGACCTCTACACCCAACCCAAGACTCCAAACTCAAAGAACCTTAAACCATTGATCCCTAAACCCTGAAACCCCCGGTTCGGAGTGTAGTCAGAGTCCAAAGAAGGATAGCCACGTAAACTCCTGCATCCTCAACACCCCCCGGAATTTTCAAAAGTCGGGAGGCTTAAACCCTAAACCCCCCGCCGCAACCGGCTTGCCACGTCAAGCTAAACCCCTAAACCCCCAAACCCCTAAACCCCCAAACCCCCAAACCCCTAAACCCCCAAACCCCTAAACCCCCTAAACCCCCAAAACCCCCAAAACCCCCAAAACCCCCAAAGCCCCCAAAACCCCCAAAACCCCTAAACCCTCAAGGCGCCATCAGTGCCAAAGAGCAGCTGGTCATGGCGGGTGGCCGTGTCGCCATCACCGGTTCCGAGTCATCCGGGACGGCAGGCTCGATCCAGCTACGGAGCATGGGTGCTTCTTACTTTAGGGGTCTACAACCAAAGCCCGTGCTAACTAAGAAAGGGGTCTTAATAATTGCCGATGCTATGTTGGGGGCTCCTTATTACAATTATAGTATAATGGGCCTTAAAACCCTGTTCTCAGCTCCCATTTTAATTATTACAAGTATAAGGCCCCTAGATTAGAGTGGCGTGGAGAGAGTACCGGCGTTAGTGCAGGCACCGCAGGTGTCCTTCATGCTGTTGTGTCTCAGCCTTGAACCCTAAGCCCAAGACGGAAGACTGCAGGTGCGATCTTTGCAGAGAGTCTGAAGATGTCGGATGGGAGCATCACCATCCAGAACGCCTCAGCAGGTAATGGCGGAGGCAGCGCTGGCAGGGGTTCAACATAATTAAATGCCAGAGTAGTCACAAATACCATTTCCGGGGGCTCCTTCTGTTGCTATACTCAAAGAGCCTTTCAATAGCACGGACAGGGCGGTGGGATGATGTTTGTGTTGTTCAGAGCTGCAGGGCACTGGACAGAAAGATACAGAAAGTATTGGTGTGAAGCAGGCTCGGCATCAGTGCGTGTGCGCCACAGCCCCTCCACACAAAGTGTTCGGGGTTCTGGAGTATACCGGGCTTTTCGGATCACGCCATACGTTGCTGGAACCGTTCCCAGCTCCCCGCGCTCGACGTACCGCACGACGCAGTCCCCCACCCCGAGCCGCCTGGGTCCGTAGTTTGCAGTTACAAGGGGACCCGGACTCTTCTGCGCAGTCGTAACAGATGCATTGAACAAAAAAGGAGATGCTTAGTGAATGCTGCATCTGAGGGCTCTTGTTCTGTCCCTTTCATCCCACAGACCTTGATGATTTGAGACCCAACGCCGCGAAACTGCTTCTGGTATAGGAGCCCTGATGATGAGAAAAGGGTTCTGGGGTGTAGCATACTGTATTTGTACAAGGACCATAAGGGAATAGTGTCTGCATAGTGTTTTTGTCAGCTTCTCCGTCTTTGAAACTAAAGAGGTGGAGTGGCTGCGACGGTTTGCTGACATGCAGTAGTCATGTTAGCTGCCGATTCCCAGCTGATGATGGCATAAAGCCTGGGTTCAAAAAGTGTCTGTAAGTGTTCCATCCCTTATACGAAGAAAGCCGGCATCGGATTCCTTCGTTCCTTTGCCTGCGTGTTGCATGTGGCATGATTGTTAAAGTCTGAACGGGAGACCGTTGCCTCCAAAACCCTAAAATCCCCTAGCCGCGACAACCTGAGCCGTGAACTCCCTTATCTCCTACTTGTAAGGATTGCTCCTCAATGGTGCAGCAGGCATCTTCAGTCAAGGTCGGAAACCCCAGCAAACCAAGGCTGCCAGTAGCTCTACATTGAACGCTTTCGCCCGAAGCCCTAAACCTCAAACGGCAACAAGGCGGATGGAAAAGAGGCACCTCAAGAAACAGCATCTTGCCGTGACAGGCGCGATGCTGGCGATCTCACAGGCCATGTCCGGTGGGAGCATCACGATCCAGCATTCCCGGGCATTCTCTGATGGAGGCCCAGTGCCAGAACCGCAAAGCCCTGAAAAGGTCCGACGTGTAGTGGAGATCCATGTCATTTCGGTATAGATTTTCTAGAATTCTAGAAGAGAAGCCCAGGTGCATCCCTGAAGAAGATGAGGAGGATCTCAGTAGTATGATCTGTTAAGCACAGCATTGCTTCAAACTCGTTTGCTTAGTGATCTACTGCATTCATTGTACTTGCATGGGCGGAACACTGCTGAAAGAGAGCTCGAAAAGAGCAATAACCTGAAGCAACAAGTGCGCTTGAACTTTCCACCACGTCACAGTAACCCAGTTTCGCGGCTCGATCAGCCTTGCAGGATGCAACAAACTTCTTTGCTTGCTTTTGCCAAGCTTTGCACCTGCTGCGGCTGATACCTTGAACAAACTGTCGCCTTGCCGTTGTTGGTTTTGTGCTGTAGCCGTGTATCACAAATCGCGCCAGGTTCAATGGATGTGGATGAGTTGGATTTGTCTGGCGGCAACCTAACTATCGACACCTCTCGCACAGAAGAGAAAGGAAGAGGCTGGGCACAGCTGGAGTGTCCTTTCCTCGCTCATTAGCACGGGCCAGCTCCCATACCCTTTGCTTCAAGCCACGGCATTCTCGCCACTGGTCAGATGCCAGGAAAAACAAGTACTGGTTGAAATAGTGTTTGTACGCCTTTGCACTGAGAACTCAGCTTTCAGCGGCAGGAAAGCAGGAAAGCCGGTTCCCCATTATCATTCTAGATTCTGGAATAAAGTTTTTTTCAAAACTCTACTAAGAGTGTTAAGGACCCGCATAATCGCAGCTACAGCGGAAACCCTGCCCAAAACATCGGCGCAGGCATCGTGAGCGTATATGAGAATGATTTCCGTAAAATGCCATGGCACCAATAGAGCACAGTAGAAGCCATATCGGTCTTAGGTTCTGCGTTCGAGTAGTCCCAGACCGGAACTATGGTATATTCCTTATAATGGGTAATGCAGGATTTCGTCCATCAACAGAATTACCCGTAAACAATTGCCTCCCTAGATCTTCCTAAGCTGCATATAGGAGCCTTAACAGTTAGAATAAGGTTTTGGGGCCCGTTATGCTATAAATATCATGAAGGAACCCAGAAGATAGCATAGGTAATATTAAGGCCTTTGTGGTATATTAATGCATATTATATTGGGTGTCGAGTTTTGAGTTTAGGTTTGGTGTTGGGTGTGACCGACACACCTGAACGCCACTCGGTGCAGGTGGCGCGCTTTTTGTGCGGATGTTGCGCGTGTCTGGGGGTAGCCTCACGGTCTACGATGCCGATGCGGAAGCGGATGGAGGTCCAACGGCTTTCGAGGGTGTATGGGAAAAGGCAGCAAAGTGGAGGCATGCAGCGTGCAAAACTACAACGCATCTTGCATTACTTTGGAATTCTGCCCGTCAAGCAGGTATCAATTACATCCTGCTGGAGTGTGCAAATGTATGTTTCATGCTGGCGTTTGCCCCTCAACCTTCTGAGTTGCTCTACCCCAAGACACCAATTTTCCTTAATCAAGGAATATACCTTAAATCATGTTAGGTATCCTGCTATAATTTCAGGTATATTCCTGAATGAAAGGATATTGAAGTCTCTGGGAAACCCTAAACCCTAAACACGAAACCGACCCCGGGGTTGTTTGTGCTATCGCACTACCAATTGACCCGCGGGTTATGCGTGTTTTTGCTTGTTTTTGTCTGCTTCTCTGGTGTTGGGGGGGTGGGGGGGGTGGGGGGGGGCTAGTTTCGTTCTGTCTGACGACGTCCATCACACCCTTGCTCTGCTGCTGCAGCTGCCTCTGCTGCTGCTGCTGATGCCAGTGCTGCTGCACCTGTACTGCACGGTCACAGTCATGTACTCTGTACTTAGGTTGCTCTTGCGTTTGCAGACCAAGCTGCCTGCGCTGTGCCAGTCCTTTCTGCTCAACGTAGGCCCGAACCCGCAAACCCCAAACAAACATCCCAAGCGTTCAACCCCAAAACCCTGCAGCTAGAAGCTTAAAGCCAGCATCCCAGGCCCTAGCGAAGCAGCGCAAACCCCAAAACCTCCAAGCTCAAGGCTTTAAACCCGATATCCCAAAAAACTTGTTTCGCTTGGCAGAAAACGCACAAAACACTACTTCCAAACATGAAACAATAGCGAAACAAAGACCCCTGGCCCAAAACTGTAGAGGCTGCCCAAGCCTGTCTCCCAAAACATGAACGGACAAAGCAGAAATTATCGTTTTACCTCGGTAGAACTGCGATTTTGCCCAGACTACAAAAGCATGGCAACAACGAGGCCCACGAACACAAACATCGACCGAAAACCCAAAATGGCCATTTTATCCGGAAAACTTTAAAGACATGCTCCCGGACAGTACAGCCATCAAATGCAAAACCTTGCTTTCGCCGAGGCAAAAGCTCCAAAAACACTTATTCACAAGAGAAAATAATGACGACAGCAAGTCCCGAAAACTTGCTCGGTTGCGCAACGATGTCTGCCAAAACAAGAACTCATAATCCAGAAATCAACGTTTTACCTCGGTCAACTACCATTTTGCCTGAAAAGGCACCCCTGCTATCGTGCGGGTCCTTTCGCGGGGCGTTACCTTTGTGCTAGCCCCATGAGTCTGGATGCACGGGTCCGTGTCACAATGTGGCAGTCGCTGTACCATCTTACGCCAGAGCAGCGTGGTTCCTGGCTTGGGTGGGCTACACTGCTACAAGGCTCCCTCAAGCGCTTATTGCTATCATGGCTACTATAAGTTACCTACAGGTTCAAGGGATGGGCCTTTTTTGTTATCTTCAGGGCTCTCGTTCACAATACAGCCTGGAAGCTGTTCTCTACAGAAAACCGAGATTTTCTAAGTTGTCCACCGCAAGGATTCGGGTCGGCCGAGCCGACTTTCGCAAATTCCGTATAGAACGTGCCTTCTTTAGGGGTTCCTTATTATGATTTCCTATTGTTTAAATCTGCAGGCTATTCAAGGTTGAGGAAAGGTTCAGGGCTTTCCGTTTTTTCGTGGCCAGGCTGCCTCTTCACGGACAGCTTTGTGCACTCGGCTGGCAAAGTGAACCTCGGCAATCATTGCGGGGGCTCTTCGAACTCACTCAAACCAGCTAGGCAGCTCAACGGGTTGCTATCAGGTTTAGGGCTCATTTTCGGGCTTGCTAGAAGGTCAGGGCCTTGTTCGGATGCATCATCATCAGTCATCACTTGCGGACCTTGCTGTTGCAGTCCTGATTAAGAGCAAATGACATGCTGCGGTGTGAACCCTGCACCCTACACCGAGCACTGTCGGATGCAGTCCTAAGCCGCAAACCACAAACCGAGTCTGAGTTATGAGATTCCAAATCCTTACCAAAGTTATGAATTCACCTTAAACGCAAGAGTATTCCCCAAGACCTCGTCAAGCAGGGGTTGAAGTTCTGAGAGCGTGCGAGCTTGAAACTCCCCGAAGTCTCCACCCGAGCCCTGTTCGGTTTAGGCTGTAGGGTTTAATTGCGGTGCCAGGTTGAAATTGTTATGTGGTACATTCATGATTTGGAAGTTTGGAATATGATTGATATGAATATAAACTCTTAGACTTAAAGCGGTACTCAATTTAAGATCCTTTCAGCGAAGAGGGGAACCGTTGGTAAAAAGTGTTTGATGGGGTCTATATACACCCGAAACCAAGTCCAGATCCCTTTTCTGCCGGAAGGCTGCAAACCGACCCTGGCAAGTTCGTATTAGCAGTAGGCGTCGTCGTAGTTGTAGCAGTAGCAGTAGCAGTAGCAGTAGCAGTGGCAGCAGCAGTAGCAGGCGCGGTAGCAGAAACAGCAATGGCAGCAGTAGCAGCATTAGGAATCGTAATAGTCGTCGTGGTGGCAGTCGTGGCAGTCGTGGTAGTCGTAGTGGTAGTGGTAGATGTAGTGGAAGTGGTAGCAGCAGTGGAAGTATCAGTAGTAGCAGTAGTAGTGGTGGTAGTAGTAGTCGTCGTAGTCGTCGTCGTAGTGCTAGCAGAAGTCGCCGTAGTAGTAGCAGCAGAAGTAAATTTCTGGCGCCTGTGCTACCGGCGACGGAACTAGTGACTAGTGGTACCAGTAGCCGTGGGCCGTTGCAGCAGAGCAGAGGCTGTCATTCGTGGTCGGGGTCGTGGCGGTAGTTGTTGTCGTTGCTGCTGTTGCTGTTGCGGCTACAGTAATTACGGTTGCTAGCAGCTAGCAGCTATGTCCTCGCATCGTGTACGGTAGACTATTCCCATTATGTTCGCTGTTGTTAACGTATCACCTTTAGTTTTTTTTGGTTTTGTGCCTGCTTGGACCCCAAGGAACCTCACTCTCTGCAACTCTGCGATGCTCGGGGGTGCCCCGCACCGGATGCTGTAGATGTAGGGCTGTGGGGTCGGAAGGACTTTATGTGTCATGGTTCGGAGCAATTTAAATCAGGGTCAACAGGACTCCAAACATTGAGCCCTGTGTTCAGGGTTTCGGTTAGGGGTTCGGCCCAGACGATGTTGAGATAGTGGCACGATGGCGTTCTTGTTTCCCGAGGGGCGTCGATCTCGAACCGTTTGCTGAGGGGTGCTGTCGCAAGAAGCAGGTATAAATGCGTTCTCTGCTCAATCCTCAGTGTTGCCGTACGGGCCCTGATACAGCATGTCAGTTCGTTGTCTTGACTGCAAGAGTCCGCAAGAGCCTATCCCTGCTATAAGACGGAGTGCGCAAATCAAAGAAGAAAGATGAAGAAGAGCAGCCCGTTGCTGCCTTGCCTTTCAGGCGCGCTGTGGACCAACACGTGGAACAAGACCGCAGCAGCCCATATGACCATCCAGGACGCTCAGGCCGCCCGTGGCGCAGGCGTGATGGCAAGTTACGGGGCGCACGTCGACACCGATAACCTGCACATGTCTGACTTGAGCGCGCGTGGAGATGGTGGGTGCTTTTTGACCTGGGGTCGTCTGCGCTTCAATGGAACTCTGTCGCTGCAGAATTGCAGAGCAAAAGGATCGGGGGGAGCCATCTTTGCCGAAGCGGGGCCACCTAAGAAAATGCGCAGAGCCACGACTCGGATTGGCGAGGAGGTGCAGGTTGAAGCGAATCGGATCCTCTGCGTCGGCTGTTCTGCGCCAGCAGCCTCCCTGCTGCAACTACAGACCGGCCATGCCGCCTCTTTGTAGTAGAGTAAGCAAGCTTTGACCTTTTTCGGGGTACTAGTAAATTCCTATCCATATAATCCCGAAGAAAGGTAATTAGTATAATTCCTCTGTAAGGGTACTATAATTCCTATATGACCTCTATAGTTCATAACTCCTTTAACAGTTCGAAAAAAGGAACCAGATAAATTCCTCCAGGATACTGGCCCTAAACCCTGAACCGTTTTGGCTCAAGCTTTTGGGGCTTTGTCTCCTAGTTGCCCTGTTTTTTCCAGTCCTGGCATGCATGGAAGGTTCTTATGACATCATGACCGTCATGACCCCGGAGGAACTGGCAGCAACCATTATGGCCAAGGGGGAGGCTTTCAAAGCTCCGTGATCTCGTTCTTGATGCCCGTATCGAGAGGCTCCAGGAAGAACGGACGGCAACAGCCGCGCTGGCTGTTAAGGGCTACCCCGAGTGCCATTTCAACTGGGCGTTGCAGAAGGCCGGAGGAATGCTGGACCCCCTTGAAGTTCTCCTCGGAAAAACAACAGCCGCTCTGGCTGCTATGGGCTACCCCGAGTGCCAGATCAAGTGGGCATTGCAGAAGGCCGGAGGAATGCTGGAGGCAACAGCTGCGCGGACTGCTATGGGCTGCCCCGAGTGCCAGATCCAGTGGGCGTTGCAGGAATGCTGGACCCGGCCTTGAAGTTCTCCTCCAACATCCGTGCTGGCTGCTAATGTTGGGCCCGGCCTAGAAGTTCTTCTTCGGGAGGAATGCAGCGAGGGGTTCGAGGAGCAGCAGAACAAGAAGGCAGACAGCTGGCTCTCGACTTTTATGGCCGCCTTCTACAGCACCTTGACGGGTGCCTGCTGCTGTTGCAGAGGCAACCTATAGCCATCAAACCTTGAGCATGCTGAGCCTTGGATGATTGAAGCTGACGCAACTCCACTCCCGTCCTGGGAACTTTGCCTTCGGGTTTAGGGTTTCGGCATGCAGCAGTTCCTCCTCACCGACGGCGAGGACACACGGGAAAAACGGTGGAGTCGTGCCCTACTTCGAATGCACAAAGAGCTGGTGGGCATGGCTAAGGATCCGTCGCCTTCGACAGGGACTTTCCCCGCTTGTGCCTGGTGCCCCCATGAGTGCCTGGAGAGAACAAGTCGAAGCTCTGCGGGTGGCAGCCATGGACGGTGAGGAGACAGTATGGAGCGCGATGGAATACCAGTCTTGGATTCAACAGTGGGTTAATGAAATATCGGTCTTCATCCTTGGCTTTCAATCAACGCCCCGGCCCCATGCCATCAACCTGGACACCCAGACAACCTCTGATGGGCTTGACCACGGACGAGGAGAGTGAAAGGCCTGTGGGAGGAGGAGGAGGAGGACGAGGAGGAGGACGAGGACGAGGACGAGGACGAGGACTAGGAGGAGCGAGCACGCCAAGAACAATCAGAACAAGTCTGCGGGGAGAAGGCCGACCAGTTGCAGACGAAAGCTACAGCTTAAAGACAATGGGAACAGGACCAGTTCCTGCACTCGCTTCGGTCCGGCATGACACCTCCTCCAAAACGACGGTGCGTCCTATCGCTGGAGGCGGCATCGAAACGGCAACCCAATTGGAATTCGAGTGGCCAACAACTCAAATTGAATTCGAGTGACCGGCAACTCGAATTGAGTTCGAGTGGGCCGCGACTCAAATTGAATTCGAGTGAAACTAAAGAATTTCCATGCAAGGACAACACCAATTGTTTTCCAGGATGTCGCTGGATTATCATAGGATTTTCGATGAATTGCCGCCGAGCAAATCAATTGAGTGCCAGGCAACTCAAATTCAATTCGAGTGGCTGGCAACTCGAAGTGAAATCGAGTGGGCGGCAATTCGAATTCAATTTGAGTGGGCGGCAACTCAAGCTGAGTTCGGGTGGGCGGCAACTCAAATTGAATTCGAGTGGGCCGCGACTCAAATTGAATGCGAGTGAAATCGAAGGATCTCCAGTGACTTCCAAGAAGCTACTGTAAGGGGGGTCTGCCCCCCGCTATCATCATGTACACGGTGGGGAGCACTCGAATTGAACTCGAGTTGGCTCCAACTCGAATTCCAACTCGCATTGAATTCGAGTCGGCAGCAACTCAAATTGAATTCGCGTGGGCGCCGAGTTCCGGAGATGTACCTCGTGTAGCACATACGTTGGCACTGGATGTGCCAACATCGGGGGAACCAGTGACTCTCACGATCTGGGCCCGCATGGAAGACAGCCCCGAAAAAGTGTCGAACCCTGTGCAGGCTGGCGAGTTGCCTCCTCCGACCTGCTCGATAGGAGATGTTAGCCATGCTGCTGCGAATCGACCCTGTTGTGTGCACCTGTTTCCCATGATCGTGGAAAGTTCTGGCTCGCCATGTTCCGGGCTATGAAGAGTGACGGGTTGGATGCCTGCCGTGCTGACCTTGATGTATGTGCCGAGTGGGATGTTGAGGGGTTGAACCTGGTGAACCCGAAGCAGGAGATGGTGCAGCGATGGAGATGGGTATGGCCAGCTCAGATGATGTGGTCGCGGAGGTTGACCTCGCGTGTTCGAGTGGAGGGGTGGAAGAGACAAGCCGAAGCAGCTCGGTGTGATGTATCGAAGAACAAGGGCATTCCTGCGAGCAAAGGGCAACGAACCTTCCGCAATTGCGGATTCCTTACAACGGTACGCTGCTGGACGGAAAAAGGCGTTCGAACAAAAAAAGCATAAACCCTAAACCCTAGTCCCTCGGACCTGAGTGTGAGCGTCGAAGCCCTAAGACCTAAGTGAGGCCCTGGCAGAAGTCCAGATCCGATCCGACAGGGCTTCGATGTCGTCCATGGCCGCAGGTCCCTATGCAACGATTGAGGTGGGGCGTTCGGAAACGAATTCTTCGGGTCTGGTTGTTTAGGAGACCTCGTTCAAAAAAGTTGACTAAGAGCTCAGCTGGAAAGGGGTTCAATTCAGACCCAGTTAGAATAGCATGAGTGTGTGGATATTGGTAGTTCGCGTCTTAGTTTGTGCAAGAAACCTTGCACCCTCAACCTTAAACCTTAATCCTTGAACCTGACGCCCTACACCCGGAACCCTAAACCTTAGGAGGGGCTCGAGAGGTTGGGACATTGGACTGTGCCGAGTCGCCCGGCTGCGACATCTCCGCCCTATCATCGGGCGTCCGCCGGCTGATCTGTCCAAGAGGAGAGGGCCGCGAGGACTCGCGGTTCAGGTTTACTACTAATGTTGAGAGTTGAGAGTCCAGAGAATTCGCTAGTGTTAAGGTCGCCCGGCAAGCGGCCCTCGCAGTGGCGCAGTGCATATGTCATGTTTGCTTACAGAGTTTCGTGGTTTGACATGGTTTTGTGGAGACCAGATTCATGCTAAATTCCAGTACATGGGCACTGTATGGTTTCGACTCCTTGAATCCCGCCAGTACCTATGGGAAGGAAGAAGGTTGGCCGTCCACTTGAACATTGCCACTATATGGGCGGAAGCATAAGCGCTCAGTGCTAGCAGTTCGGCCGTGCCCTGGTAGGATCCAAGTAGTTTAAGTTACTCCTCGTGACCTCCTTGTGGTTTCCTCGTGGTCTCACGGTTCGTGGTCGTAATGCTCGTCGTTGTGGTCTACAGTGGTCGACATGGTCGTTACGGTCCTCTTTCATTATTTGCGATCTACACCGGCAAAGTTTTCTGTTTTTGCATGGGGTTCGTGTGAGAATGTACAGGGTTGGATGTTGCAGGGCTCCGTCGATGATCGGTCCTGCGAGAGATATCCCTGCGCCAGAACCTTGATGAGGGAATCCGGTGCCGGATGTGCCCGGACGGGCAAACCCGCCTCGCGACGTCGCTCGAGGCTGGTTCAGGATGGATGGGGTATAGGGTGGTAACGATTAGCATTAAGCCACAATGCCTTCCTTTCACGCTAATCTCCAGACCGTTTCGGGCTTTAGGGTTTGGGGGCAAGATGTCAAGGAACAAGGCCGCCTTTTCTGGTACCCAAAACCACACCTTATAGGAGCCACGGTCCCGAATGTGTTTGCACGCAGGTTCGTCTACGATTCGTGAGCTATACCCTAAACCCTGAAAGAAGCTTTCGCAGCCCCGAAGCTCGGAACCTGATCCTTCCGATCGTTTTCCGTTGTTTGCACGACATGTGTCAGGGGGATTCGCAATGCACTGCATGCCCCAAGATCCCTGACATGGCCTCTGGGCAGCAGGCTTTCGGTCTCTTCGGGCTTTTGGGTCTGTATGGCTGCTTTAGAGCCTTAGGCGTCTAACAGACCGTAAGAATATCAAAATGGGTTGGCCTGCGGTTTTAGGGTTGCGAGGTTCGGCGTTTAGGGTTGCAAAGTTTTCATGGTTCCAGGGCCTTGAAGGTTTTATTGGTCCAAGGTCCGGGGTGCTAGGCCCTAGGCTGTGTGCATACGCTACTGTCTTGGACCTGACTGGCAGGCAACTAACTCTGCTGATTAGAGTGAGTGACAGGGAGCGAGACGGAGAGACAGAGGGACAGAGAGAGAGAGAGAGAGAGATGTACCAGGTTGTGGACACAGGCTGAAATTGGCTTTTGGAAGGCAGGAGAAGCGCTTCGCTTGCGTTTGAAGCTCTCCAATCTAGCCTTCGACCTCGTAAGCTCAGAACCATCACGCTCAACCCTCTTTTTGGAAGCCTTAGAGAATCAGAATCTGCAGCACGATGGTGTTTAGTCTGTTAGAGTGCTCCCTACCGTCGCTCAAGTCCCTACCCCGAAGCCTCAAAATCTCAGGCTGGAGGCTTTGCACAGAAAGCCCTACTACAGCATAGAAGCTTGAAGAACAACAACAACAACCACTACTACCACTACTACCACTACTACCACTACTACCACTACTACCACTACTACCACTACTACCACTACTACCACTACTACCACTACTACCACTACTACTACTACTACTACTACTACTACTACTACTACTACTACTACTAGTAAAGTTACTAGTACTACTACTACTACTACTACTACTACTACTACTACTACTACTACTACTACTACTACTACTACTACTACTACTAGTACTACTACTACTACTACTACTACTACTACTACTACTACCACCACTACTACTACTAGTGTTTCTTGAGATTCTTAGCATAGGTATGGCATAAACGCTTCACAACTTCAGGGCCCTATGTTTGTCCTTCTGGACCCCCAGCTTCGAAACCCGAAACCTCGAACCCCCAAGGCTTGGGGCGTAGAAATCCCGAAAGAACCCTTAGAGCTGAAACCCCAAACCACCGAAGCCTTAGAACCCAGGACATTCGCTGCACTGCGATGGAGCTCGGGCTGCCCCCGGGCTGGATGGCGTTGACCTCAGCTGTGGTCGTGTGTATGATTGGGACATTAGAGGTTTGAGTTGAAAGCTGCAGCCAGCGATTGCGATGCATGTATTATATACCTTAGGTCATCTCCTGCACCTCCAGGTTTGTATTTTGCATGTCGCAATTGCACTTAAGTTGGCAATTTTTTCGGTCGCACCGGACTGGTGCAACATCGGCTCACATGCCATAGAACTTCAACTCTATAGACCCCAACACCCCCTCCAAAAAGCACTGAAAGCCTAGAAGGGCTTAGAAGCCCTGCTAGCCCTTGGGCATTACGATTACGTGACTTAGCCACGAAGCCCTACTCCTTACAAACTCTGTATACCACATGAACCCCAGAAGCTCAAAATCCAGATCCGAGACCAAAAACACTAAATCCACGAGGCCCGTACCATATGAAGCCGTTATCAAACCGTTGCTAGGCCTTGCTTTTTTACAACTCTAAACGCCACAAGCCACAGAAACAACCTAACCTTTATGAAACTGTTTTCATTTTTAAATACAGTAAGCCAAGTACCGCCTCAAACACAACTAAAAAGCCTTGCACCATATTCTCATTCCCAAAAGCGCGGTAAACAAACACACAAAAATCGATGAAGACGCCCTAAACCCTAAACCCTAGAAGGTAGACCTGAACTTGACGGACACCTCCAACTTATCCTCTTGGTTCCGCTGCCCCAGCGCAACCCGGCCTGCCTTTCATTGTGTCCGATTCCTAAACGGGAGTTTTCGAAAATAGGGGACCCTAATACAGTACCCTAAATAGGAGGATCCTTATTATAAGGACTCCAGAATAGGGAACCCGTCACTTTCGGAAACTCCTAAACCCTAAACCTTAAACCCTACACCCTGAACAGTTTCTGGGTCTGGGGTTTTCTTTGAAGCCTCTTTGGCTTGTTTTTTTTTTTCATTTCCTGGCGTTGCGGCATCCTTCTGTTAACGGCCTTAAGGTGTCTAAAGCTTCTAGGGAGAGTTTTTATGTGCAGGTTCGGAGGGGGGTGGGGATGCAGAATGTGGGCCGGAGGCTTGGTTCCTGCCATACGGGGGGGACGGCGGCTCAACAAAAATGGCTGTAATAATGAGGATACGAGTGCCATATAACTTTATCACAGTTTAAAAGTCATTAAGGGCTTATTGTTTGACTTGCAGAATGCAAATAATTAGGTAAAGCTGCACACTCTCAGGGTGCGGTAACTGCTTAATGCAAAACGCGGCTTAGGGTTTTGGATGGCTTTCTCGAGTTGAGGCTTGCTGCAGGCCCTGTAAGATCTTGGTCGAACTATCGTGGGACGATGCGACGAGCCTTTGGGGCTAAGCACCAAGATTGTCAAGCCCAAGGCAACCTCAGCTGGCCATAAAGCCAAAGAGCAAGCAAGGCCGTAGAACCTGAAACGTCCACACCCTCACCACTCCCCCTAGCAACAACATTCAAAATCGTGACAGGCAGCTAACGCCTTGTGACGAACCTTTGTTCTGGCGGACTGTTCACCTAGGGCTCTAGGTTTAGGGTCTTAGGATGTGGGTTTTGGGGTCTTCGGGCTTGAAGGTCACCGTAAACAGCTGGTTAGGGTTGACAGGATCTCAGGGCTTTGGTGGCACTAAGCCCTAAACCCGAAAACTCGGCGTGTAGAAGTCTGAGACCTAGGAAATGGCCTGCCCCGGGGGGCATCTGCAAGCAAGCACCCGGGATCCGCGTCAGCCGGACGAGGCCCCGAACCCGAAAGTCGAGAAGCAGCATCATTCTGTGATTCAGGTTTCCTTGTTATTCCTATTGTCCGTGTTATTCTGTGGTTATGATTAGTATAGAAGCCAGAATTATTACCCACATTCTTCCGAAGGGTTTCTTATTCTGACTCGAGCCGAATCCTCAAGTCGTGAGCAGAGTTACTAGTAGAAGTAACCCTACTTGGGGTTAATCCTACCATCCTGCTTAAAGCCTACTTGTTTATCCTAAAACCCGAAATTTCGGGGATCTATAACTGTGTGAATCATCCCGGCGCAAGCACGGCCTGCTTCTCAAAGCGCGAGCCGTGTCGAGGTGCTAGAAACGTCGGATGTCTGTGGTTTTTGGTCGAGTGCACCATTTCAGGGAGCAGGACGGGTTCAAAAACACCTTATGTTTTATGTCCCGAGTTGCAGCAGACACCGCGAGGTCGTTCCCATGTGCGAGAGGGGTTACGAAGGACCAGGGCACCTTGGTGCAGATTTCGAAGTCAGGGAGTTGTGTTGCTTTCTTCCGCGGGCTTAGGGACGACCTGTCATGTGGAAAGCGCACACGCGGTAAAATATGCCTCAACTCAGCATGTAAGTGTAGTCAGACTGCTTGGGCTTACCGTGTCAGGTCGTTGTATGTCGTTGTAGGTTCGGTGATTTTTAATTCCGAGTGGATTGCCAAACCTCTGCGTTCTGCGCAGAGAACAAGATGTCGGTTTGAGGGTGTTGGGCATTTGGGTTGCTTCTGTTCTTATGCAGAGTCTTTTTGGCAGTGCTTCCGCTTTCCTAGGAGCTCAGGTACCAGCAAATTTACAACCTTACCCCCGCAGCTCCGAACTATGCCTTCCTCCCTAACCTTAATAACTACCCAGACCCCCGGGAGGATCCAAAAGGTAGATCCCTTAATGGGGGTTCCTGTAGAGTACCCTTCGTAGTACAGGGCCCCAAATTAGGGGATCTACTTTCTGGATCCTCCCGGGGGTCTGGGTAAATCCAAACCCCAACACGTCTTCCCTACCTGAGCCCTGGCAATGACGCGGTGAAGATCCGAGGTGCACGCGTTGCAGCCACGGCTTCGCACGCGGAGACAGCAACGTCCTGCAATGTGTGCAATGTGCAAACGGACAGGCCCAATGTAGGATTATATCTGTATCATCTATATCTATATACATGTACATGAATAAGTAAATAAGCAAACAAGCATATAAATATACATGTGTATAACTGTATCTTTATCTTTATCTCTGTATCTATCTATCTGTCTAACTATGAATCTATATGTATATGTATGTGTATATATATATAAGTATGTATATATGTATACAAATAGTATATTTGTGTATTTACTATGCCCGCACACACAGTATACACATGTATGTACGCCTGTATGTATAAATGTATTTATATATACACACATACACATATATATATATATATATGTATACATATGTATATATGTATACACACCTAAAAAGGTTGATACAAAGACAAAGCATTCATCCCAAAAACCCCTTGGGCTTGGAGCTCAAGGTTCAAGGGTTTGGTTTTGGGGCGTGGGGTGTACTGTTGAAGTAAGTGGAATGTGGTTGCGCGGTATGGTCGACACATCATGTACTTACACACAATAAAAGACATGCGGATTTTGAGAGGATAGCTCGACTATTTTCGGAGATTCTATTTATTTTGTTGGAAGTTCGAAGTGGGTTTTCTGTGTACAGAGCGGCGTTTTGATTTGTGTACCCTCTTTCCTTGGTATCCTTGTCCTGGAATCCTTAACTTTGTCTGAGCCCACACGAGGAGGATGGGAGGCAGAGCATTCCTGGGTCCCACGGGAGGGACCCAACGAGACTGAGCTATACTGACATCGGCCGCCTCTCTCGTCATCTGACCCCAGGATAAAAAGAAGCCACGGAGAGAAGGACATCGTTGGATACATCCCTGAACCCGGAGCCCTTAGCCCTAGACTGTCCTGCTGCAGGCCCTCCGACATGTCGCTTTTTGCCTCCTCAAGGACCTGGCCCTGTTCGCATCTGCGGCCGTCAGTGTCTCTACCCCAGCTTGTCCAGACAAAAACGTGTACATATCCGTTTGCCATATTGTACGGTATTGTATTATGTTACAATACATACATCAACTTTCATGATCCACTGTTACACTATGGAACAGCAATATGCTGTATTGTACTATGCTGTACCGTTTCAGCTTACAGTATATGATATGCCATATTACAGCATGTTTTTCATGTTGTATTCAATTCTATTTTATCTTGTCATACCAGGTTGTAATATGTTGAGCTATATCGTATTAATGCTTATTGTAACATGTATTGATGTGTTATATCAAGTTTTTACGTGACATCGCATCATATCATCTTCATATCACACCATGCCATATTATACTGTATTCTAGTAGGTATAGCATGTTGTAGTATGCTACAATACTGTGTCACATTTTTGTATTATACCCATACACTACTTTCTTATGTTATGTTAAACTAGCTCATAATATATTATACTAGGTTGTATTATCTTATTATACGCTTAAGTCAGCTCATACCATGTTCTATTATGATATCATATTGCACTGTCTTATAAACTAAGGATATATTGTTTATCATCTGTTATACGGTTTTACATTATTTGGCATTCTATCATGCTTCGTTTATCTACATATATCTATCTATCTATCTATCTATCTGTATATATATATATATAGACACACACTGTCTTACCTTGTATCATATTACGTTGCACTATACCGTATGGCACTACATGGTTCTGGTTTTGTGTATATATATATACACATCTACACACATACATCATACATACATACAGCAGTGATCTAAGCTAGCCGCTAGCCCACTGTCGGATACAACTCCTGTTCAGCTTTTGCATGTCGGGGGCTATTACATTTCAGGAGGCCAGTGGGTTGGGACTCCATGCAGGTGGCTGGCGCAAAAGGCAAACGCACATCGAGCGCCACACTTCTGAACCAGCTGATGTCCTTTGCCGCGGTGGCCGGCATCACGATGTGCCCTGCCAGCGACAAGCCATAGCTCGAAATCGCCATGTGTTTTGATGCCTGACAACAGTTTGAAGTCCCAGAAGTACCCCAAACCCCGCCTCCAAAGCTTATCCAAACAGCCAACTTAGTTAACTTGCGGATCCGAGACAAACGCCAGAGACTAGAGCGCCATATGAGTTGCACAACTTGTTGAGATGAACCACGATCACATGAGTATCGTGTGTCTGCATTGTTGTTCTCTTGGTTTGCATGGCCAGTAGCTGCCTGTGATCCGAGACTTGGCATTCGCTTTGTCGAACTGGCATGAAGCCGTAGTCCGCTGTTCTCGAAGTTACCGTGCAATGCGTGCCTTCGTCCTCGCTAAGTAGGAGGGATAAATTATCATGCTGCATGCCCTTGAGTGCTAGATGTTTTGTTGTCCTCATTGAATCGACGCTTCCTTAAACCCGGAACCAGACTCAGACGCCTGGGTTTGGGGCTTAGGGTTTAGGCTAATTTAGGGGTTCACGGTTCAGAGTCGAAATGGCATTGGGTGACATTTGCCGGCGTTGAGTGATGCATCAGGCTGCATCAGTTGACCCTGACAGAGGGTGTGTCACTTTTGCTTTTTCCGGCTACACCCTAAACCCTAAATCCTGAACCCCGAACCCTGTACCCTGATCCCTAAACCTACAGTCTGGCTTGTTTCGTTTACGGACCTTGCCTGGCACAGTCCGAGCATGAGCATCGTGTAGATGCCTTGTGGGGCCATTGCAGAAGCCTTCTATTTAAAGATCGTTTTGGGCCCTTTAGAGTCCTTCTAACCGCCTCATCGAGCTTTTTTAAAGAATCCCAACTTGGAGGTTCATGGGTAGGTATAAGTGGGGTTATATGTAGGGTAACTAAACTCATAACTCATATTAGGGGACTTATACCCCATTTATAGCTACCCATGAACCTCCAAGAAACCTCGAAAGGTCTGGCGCGATGCAAACCCCAATCTTCCAGCATGACATGGAGGAGTCCGCGCAGGACAGCAGAGTGCAACTCTCCCGATTACATGAAGAAGCCTTATAATGACGAATGAGCAGATAAGTAGAGAACGTAAACAAAAAACAGTAGATGTGTATATGAATAGGTGCATGTATGTGTACGTATATTGTTTCATGTTGAAGCTCCGGGTTCTTGCTTTGAGGTTTGGGGCGGTTCTTCGGGAGACGGGGCTGCTTCATTTCGCTCCAGGCAGAAATCCCACGTTTAAATACCCAAACCCCTGAAGCCCGTACCCTCTAGCCCTGCATTCCCAAAAGCCGAAAATCCTGCGCCCCCTGGCCAAAAAGCACAGTGTTTCGACGCAGCTTATCGCGGTGTGGCAGGAAGTGCTCCGATACCTGTCTTTGCCGGTCTCTTTCGCACAGGGGCAAACGTCCGGCGAAGCAGGCGCGTCATGGGAGGCTGGCTTTGCATTGGATGAAGCTTTTACTTTTTGGGGATACGATTTGTCCTGGACGAGGTGCCTTCTGTCTTTGGTTCCCGTTTCAAAATCCCTCCACCCTAGGAGTGCTTACTGGGAAGCTTTGGTGTGGAGCCAACGCTGCAGCGTGCACACATCCTGGCTTCTGTTTGGCCAGCGATCCTCATCGCATCCCAGAGGCAGAAGCCACCACCACATGCCCGCGCTGGAACCCAACAAAGTAAAAACAGAAACCCAAATGATTCACGATACCATTCCGTAGGGCTCCATTTATACACCTGCAAAAAACTTACCCTAGCTACTCCGATCCTTGCATTAGATGCCCCAAGCATTGCATTTCAGTGTATGTCTCTTCTCTTTACTACATCTTGACGAGTCCGGTAGATCCTGTACAAGAGGCCTTATAGAAGCCTGAATTAAGTAGTAGTACCATTTCTGTATCATATTTTGTGCTATGATATAATTCAAGACCCTATGTACTCTAATTATTCAGGCCCCTGCATCACTTATTTCGGTTTTCCGTCACCCACATGCCAGGCCGTCGAGGCCTTCATGTCTGCAGGGCCCGAACCCTGCTGTGAGTATGTGCGCACATACAGCTAGGAAACGCCCATGAGCATATCTTCACGAAGAGACGCGTAGTTTTACAAAAGCCCATCGCTGTTTTAGTTATGTGTGGCAGTTTGGCATCTGCAACACACGAGTAGCAGTGACACTGAGTCTTCCTAATGAAGCTTGAGGTTGTATACAGTCACACCTGGTATACCGCCACATACACCAACGCTTTTTTTCCTGGAGCTCCCACAAGCAAGAGGCCTGTGACTCCCCCTACCCCCCCGCAGGGTTTCAAGGGAAACTGACGCCTCAAAACCGACGTCTTCAGGGTTCCTTATAATGATTTCCTTATATAAGTTTTCAAGAAGGTACCCGCATCCGAGGGCCTTCGACCCTACTACGGAAGCTGAGGCATCACTCGCTATGGCCAAAGGTGGCTGGCTCGCCCTGGTCGTTGGAGTCAACGTTTTTCTTCCGGCCTGTGTCGCCGGCTTCGGCAGGTGGGGGAGCAAGGAGAGCAAAATCTAATGTAGAGGCCGAAATAATTACCAATTCTATTTTGGGGGTTCCTTATCAGAACTATAGTAAAATATACACCAAAACCCTATTCGAATTATTAAGGCCCCTAAATTACATTAGTGGTCGAGTAGCGTTTTCGGAGTACTGTAGCCCAGAGGCTCCACAGATACTACCATCCTGGAAATATGTCCCAAAAGAGCATTCTTATTATGGTTTCAGGAGCCTGATTCCATTGTGGTAGTTGTTTGTGTGGAACACCGGGTAACCCATAAGTATGAAATCCCAAAGGTTGACTTTAAGCTGCCCCGACTGGACAAGAAACACATTACATTATGGTTTAGGGTTTAGGGTCCCTAAAACCTAAAACCTTAAACCCTAAACCATAACAAGTCATAACTAAGAAGTCAACCTTAGATTACATGGTTTGACGACACTGTTTTATAAGGCCTTTCCAGGCGCAAAACGGAGGGGTTTCTGATTTCCTGAGTTACCCCTCAACCCTAAACCCAACCCAACGCCTTTATTCCAAAACCGTACACCTTGATCGCCTCATCATGATATTCACACCGCGGTAGATTTCAAGGGCTACGACTTGAAGCGCCTCAACATATAAGGGCATTTATCTTCTCCGTTTCCATGGGAACACACTCGTCTCCTTTCGAAGGTCGTGCAGTGACTTGGGTTTTGGTTCAAAGGCCAGGTATGGGGCCTGGAGCTGCAGGTTCGGGGCAGCCAGCATCTGGAGATGCACTCTGAGCTTTACTGTTTCGGGGGGTTTTAGAAGGTTTACGAGGTATTAGAGAGCAAGCAGCACATTGCAGTAAGTAGAAAACTGATGCATTGAGCTGGTATTTCCCAGAAGAGCTCCGCAGGTGTGTCCCAAGCCCCGAAGATTCCCAGAGCCACTAACACCCAAACCTTCAACCCCCAAGCCCTGCAATCACCAGAATCCAGATGCAAAGCTGCAGACAAAGTGCCCGACCTTGAAGCCATAGATCCTACTTCCAAAGCCGAGCATGTCCGAGTCGTGAGAGCGTAATGCCAAAGCCGAAACCCTGTGCCCTCCCTTTACCCCAGGTTCTGAACTGAAAGCCCTCAACCCTAAACCCCAAACGCAGAGGTACTTAGTGGTCTTCCGCCTGCGCCCTGAGGGCACGCCCCTGGGAGTGACATGCTTGAATTCTGGGATTGTGGGCTTGGGGTTCAGGGATTGTGGTTGAGGGTTTTAGGTCGCGAAAACAGCACCAAGTAATATGAATACAGTGTATTAGACGAGCAAAGGTCAACAGTGCCTATATGGAAGGAAGGATCATATCAGCATGCTGATGAGGCAAGAGCAAAAATTTGAGAAACAGTAACCGCTACTACTAAGCACAGTTACTGTACTAACCTGAAGCAAGCTTACGTTCAGAGTACAATGAGGACATCATACCAGTCTGTCTCTTCAATTCAGCAGGCCCAAACACCCAACACAGCCACGATGAACCACACAACCCATACATAGCAACAGCCTTTTTAACCGCGAAAGGGCTATAGTCCTCCTTTTGCTCTGCACACCCGAACCGCCCCAAAAACCTGACAAGCTTCAGAATCCACCCACACCCGAAGTCTCCGAACCCAGGACCCTTAAACTCCAAAGCCCTCCTGAAATCCTGGAACCCCAAATCCCCACACCACAAATTCCCTGAACCGCAAATCCCCAAAGGAGCTTCGTTGGGAGTTCCTTCCTGCCGGGCCCGGGTCGGCTTCCCTACAAGTCGCTGCTGTCTCGGCGGCGATCGCTCCTTGGCTCAGCGAGTTCATAAGCTCTAGGCCGGGTTACTCTATCCTGTACCGGTGACCATAAGTTTTGCTATGAGGGTTGTGACACTGTAAGGGTTACCAGAAGAGTTACTGTAGTAAGGACTAAGGGTTCCATGGCCAAAAAAGTGCTTTAGAGTTGTGGAGTGTTCTATAACACTCCGAAAAAGTATGAGGTGGAAACTGTTGCTTAGGAGAGAAAAATCAGTTGGGAGCCCTGAACCCTAGCTTCCTACGAGGTAGGAGAACCCTACACCCTAACTGCCCAAGAGCTTTAAGCCTTCAAAACCATAAACCCTGAACATATGGGTGGTTGTCAAAATTGTGGTCCCTTTTTGGGTCCTTATTATAATACGGCACCTAATATTTAGGGTACCCAAAGGGGGGACCATCATTTTGACAACCGCCCATATTGAGAAGCTCAGGCCCTCTTCCTGGCGCTTGGGGTCGGAAGTTGGGTCTCTGCGGCCCCTGGGCCTGTCAACGAAGGGATGATACCATACCATGTCTTAGTAGCTGAGTATGTCCCCTTTTTTGGGGTTTAGGCTGCTATAAGGTGTTCCTTTAAGGGATCTATAGGGGTTCTATAAGGGCTGTATATGGGCAGGCAGTAAGTAGATGAGTTTTGACCATTGGTGATCGAGCTCCCTCTCTCCAAGGGTCTTGATATTACGACCCTAGGTAAACATCCCATTTAAGGCACGGCGATTATTGATCACGGGTATAATATAGATGAAGTTATAGAAGTGCCTTCATTGATCAGGTGGCCGACTTCTCGTGGTTATGTGTAGGGTTCAGGGTGCGACACAACGCAAGCCTCCAGCATGAACTCAGAAAATCAGGCGTTCCCGAATGCAAGAAGTGTGAGTAATACAAGGATCGAAATAGCTATAACTGAATCAGCCACGAACAATATCCCCTTATAGTTCCTGTATCATTCTCCCTTTTGTCATATTATTAATGGACCCCGATCGTCCGGGGCCCTGTTGCAATCACAGCCTGATGGTTCAATCGAGGGATTGTGGGGGCCTCTGGGAACTTTCCACAAGCCCTTACGGTATGTAGAACTGTAAAGCGGTCATCTTTGGCCACAAGACTGGTTCCCTGGCTTTAGGTCTTGGGACTCAAACTTCGACAGGTGCGCCGCCGAAAAGAGCCACTGGAGCCGCATGTGGCGTACCTTACACAGGCCGCATGCTGGTGTGTCGGGGGCCGCCATAAAGATCATATCACTTAGAAGCTTACAGTAGGTGTCTAGAGACTCAGATTCCACGTGCTTCATTTCAGAACTTACTGATCAGGTTTCAGCGATGGGATGCAGTGTTTCACAATCTAGAGGGTGGACATGCTGGCAGACACTTTTTTCGGGGCAATCGGGCAAACCCTAAACCCTAAGCCATCGCCAGACTTTCTCGCGGGGGAGAAAGGCCTGGAGAAACAACCCATTCAGGTGGGCTGGCAACGCAGAGCCCAGCCACAAAAGTATGGGTGTTGTAGGGGCCTTATTAATAAATAGAAGTTGCTTTGGGGGTATATTATACTATAGATATAATCAAGAGCCCCCCAAAATCCGATTTGAAAGTATTCAACATTATTTAAGGCATCGACATCACCCTTTTCTTGGAGCTTCTGGGCCCTTCTTCCAGTCCAACTTGGGAGCTCACGGTTGCAACAACTCCGAAGTCCTGGAAACTTGGCCCTAAACACCGTGAGCGCTGCCAAACGCTATGACCCCTTAAAGGTACATATCCTTTGAATAAGTACCAAGACTAACTACGATTCCTGCCTTCTATAAATATCATACCTGAATACCCTAGTCGAATTACCAAGGCCGCTCCTGTATGAAAGCACAGAATGCATCATACCATGGACATTTCCCCCGTCACTTACCATCGACGCCATGGTTTCAAAATATAGCAGAAGACCTCAGACTTTGTCCATTTCCTTGTCGAGTCCTTCAATAAATCTTCTGGCAACTTTCTCTCTGAGTTGGGTACTGTCCCCACTCAGTGTCAGTTGGGTAGTATTCATAATAACAATATATAGTAGGACCTTAATAGTCGCCCTATTGTAGACTGTTACTGTATGGGGGCAGTACCCAGTCTCGGAGAACAGAAAACTTTCGAAACCCGAAACTCGAAGCTCTCACCTTTAGAGTCCCGGCGCGAGCGCCGAAGTCGTAAACACCCACACCGCCTAACACCGCAGCCTCACTTGTAGTAACTAGGACAGGTACTATGGAAATCATGGTAAGTAACATTGTGCGAAGGAGCCCTGTGGAATAGAATCGTATTGGTAATTGAGGGCCTAACCCTAAACTCAAAACCCTAAACCCTAAACCCTAAACCCTAAGTAAGCCAGCACCAAAAGGCCTACAGGCCCCCGTGCGCTGCCTGGGAGGTGGGTGTGGCCGGTGGGGTGGCGGTTGGTTTCATCTGCTTGTTGTCTAATACCGGGGCCCGAATAATTACCAACATTATTGCTTGGGGTTGCTTATCATAGCTGCACTACGCTATATTTACACCAAAAACCCTATTCTAAGTATTCAGACCCCAAAACTAGGGGCGAGGGTTGAGGTTGCTTGTGCATAGGAAGAGGACCCGGGACTTCAGAAGCAATTGCTAGGACCCAGAGTAGGCCCTTATTCCCTTTTTTAGGGTTCAGGTTCCCTTATAAGCCCCTTTAAACCAAAAAGGGCATCCTTTTTATGCCTGGGTTACTCTTGGGTCTAGATTGTCAGGAAACGGGAATCGCATCTTGGAAGTTCGGAATGGGATCTCCGACTTGATAGCCTGGAACAGAGAGGGGCACAAATCCTTGACTAACTACCAACTCTTCTGTTTCAGGTTCCGGATAAAGCATACTACACACTACGAGAATAGCAATAATCGTAGAAATAACAACATTCGTTTTTACATAGTAGGGCCCATATTTTTCAGAAATCCAGAGCTTTGAAAGGAATTTCGGCCTCCACGTGCGATCTGGAGGGGGGTTTTGCCGCGAATGTATAAGTCTGAAGGGTTTAGGGTTTCGGGTTTACAGTGTGGTTCACGTGGGGTTTGGAGTTTCGGGGTGGTGGAGTTGGCATTCTGCGGCGCGACTTCTGTCGAGAGGAAGTCTTGCCTCGTTTTGATCGGTCCGGCTGTGATTTTTGAAGTGCTGAGGCTTCCTTACGCCTATAACGCAGGACATGTGGAGCCGGCCAAAATGTGCCTGCCGTCCCCCGAAAGCCTACGAAGAGCTGCGAATGACCAGTAATGCATCTCGAGCTACAAGCTGTGCGGAGTCTGAACGTGGAATGTAACTACTCAGAAGTCAAGATCCAATGCTACAATGGGTATCGATTTAGATGTTTGGTTTCCCTTATTGCTGTAGAAAGAGCCCGATTGATATGTACATGATCTTGGGGTTCTGTTGAAATCGACACCCAGTGCAGCTCGGAAAAAAAACCGTCAAACCCTAAACCCTAAACCCCAAACCCAAAACCCAGCCCCATAACCGTAAAACCCTCAGCCACAATCGGCCCTCACCCCAAACCCTGGACTCGCTTGGAGGTTGAGCGCCTTGTGCGGAAGGCCCCCTGGTTACTATCGTTCCTGCCTATCTCTTCGGGTTCGAGTTCTGGCAACTGGGTTTCGGGTGAACCAGGTGTCTGGCAACTCTTCTACAGGAGTCTTGTACTTTTTCTATGGCCAGCATACTGGTTGTCTGGAACCCCTAAACCCTAAAACCCCTCGCCTGGTTTGTCCGAGTGTGAGCGTCGAAACCCTGAACCCGAAAACCCTAAACCCTGAACCCTAAACCCTAAACCCAAAGAGCACATCATGATCCTTATACAAAAGCCAAAAGCCTGTGAAGCAGATAGATTCAACCCAGTTTGGGTAGGGCTCGCAGATCAGCCGTAGCTTCCTAAATCCTAGCGATGTCGTAGCGCCGTTGATTAATGAACACCATCTCCTTGTTCTCTGGGAAGTCTATTCCTACCTCGAAAAGGGGATTCCTTCATGAGGGGTCTTCGGCTACCTGGCTGTTCGCTTTCCGAGGTCTTCCTGGCCCTGATCACGGCCATGCTCCCCGTCACGCTTTCGCCAGCGGCATGGCTGAAGGCATATATGTTATAGTGAACCACACATGATGCTAGCAAGATACGCATGCGCTTGAGAAGAAAGATGCAGCGTAAACCGTAGACTCTAAACCCCTGGCGCTAAGCTAAACCCTAAACCCTGGAACCACGGTGCGGATGGAAACTCGCTCCGCGACCACGCGTTGGTGCCCGGGCCTTCCCTCCTCGGGGTCCCCCCCCTAGTTAAGGGTCTGCCTCGGTGGTTGTGTATAGACTTATCCTACTGGGCCCCGTCGTTCGTTTGGGTTCGTTTCGGGTCTCTAGTTTTCTTCTCTCCCCAGTTAGGGTCTAGAAACCACTAACCCGCCTACGCCGAAGCCATGGAAACCATATCCTGTGATGCTACCTGGACGTTCGCTGACACACGACTCTGCTCTGACATGCTGGACATGCTTCGAGAGAACACCTGCAAGCTCGTACCTGGGATTGTAACTGCTGTGACTTACGTGGGACTGCATGGTATGGAATTCAGGGTCTTCAGCTGCGACTGCGGTGGACGTGCATGGTATACAACAATGATGACTGAAGTGAGCCCGTACGGCTTGGAATTCAAAGTCTGGAACCAGTGCACTAGCAAACCGTATACTGCTGCTGGCCTCAGTGTGTGCTTTGGGAAGTGGCACCGCAAACTGCTTGCCTTGGCAATTGGTAACCTGGGGTCTGTGACAGTCTATCGCGGCCTTGGGACCGCCACTGCCAATGATGATGTGCATGGGGCGACCCTCTGTTTGCGACATGGCACGCAAAATGGGGTCAGTTTCGTCGCCAGAGCTTCGCTCCGGTGATGAAAGTGACTGGTCTGACACGACGGGAACCATGGATAGCTTCACTGAAAGCCGAGTCGAGGGGGCCTCTCAGGACAGGCCTGCGGAGCTAGAGGGGCCCCTGGTGGGCCCATTGGCTGCTGATGTGAGAGGGCATCGTTCGATGCGACTGGCAAGTGCATGAATGTATAACAGTGGTGCTTTGAAGGGAACTGCGATGCGAGACTGGGCATGTGCATGCGAATTTGGGAATTTGGGAATTTGGTTGCTGCGACTGGCACGTGCATGGGAACTGCGATGGGAGACTGGGCATGTGCATGCGCATTTGGGAATTTGGGAGTTTGGTTGCTGTGAGGGGTTCGTACTGACCCTGTGCATGGATAAGTACGTCGACCTGCAGATGTGGTGTTTGGTGGGCCTGGATGTGGCCGGGCTGTTACCTGTGAAATGGCACACAAGTGAGCCAGCCTGTGGTCTTTTCGTCGTAGAAACGTTGCTGTAGCTTGGGAGAGAGACGTTAATGAGTTCCTCGGCTAATGTGCTGAGTGAGTGGCCAATGTGCCTGTCCTGGGACTGGATTCCTCGCTGTGGTTCGTCCGAGAGTGAGTGCTGAAACCCTGGAACCATATGCCTCGCCTGGATTGTCCGAGCGCCGAAACCCTGGAAACCGAAACTCCAAGTTGCGAGAGTCGAAACCTCAATGAGGCTTTACAGATGGAAACCGTGAACTTGGTGCTCACCGTGTCTTTGGTCGCGCATCTGATCTGCTGGCCCTACCAGGCACTCATCAGAGGATGTGAGGATGATCAGGGTAATTCCGACCCTTTTATTCTCTATGTCTATTGGGCATGAGTCGTAGGCATAACCCCTCATGTCGTTGTGTTTGCGGATGTAGCGGCTGCAGATATCTAAGCCAGAAGCACTCCAGGTGAATGCCTGGAACAGGGTCGAGGTCGGATTGTTGATCGTGGCCTTGACCCTCGGGCTGCAGCAGGCAAGCTTCACGGCCCTGACTCTGAACATGCTGAGCCCTGAACTCTGAACCCTAAGGTCGCGAGTCCTTCTTGACTTGTTGAAACCGGAAATATCCCCAGTAGAAGGACCCCTAAAAGGGGTGTCCCCAGTTTGAAGGCACCTTGACATGGGACCATGATCCCAAGCCCTACGGCCTTGTAAGAGGCTAACAAAGCCCTCCACAACCGTCTTTAAAGTCCTTGGCGGGACCCTGACCACTAATGTAGGGCCTAAATAATATCCAATGCCATTTTGTGAGTTCCTTACTAAAACTACAGTATATTGCACCCTAAATCCTATTTTAGTTCTTAATGCCCTTGTATTACTCAGGACCATGATGGGCCTCACGACCAGCCTCCTCGCGAATGCTCTGCACTGGTCGAAGTCAACTGCAACTCAGCGGTTTCTCGTCTGTCTCATCTGCTCGCTCGCCGGCGTGTCTTAGGCTGCATGTACTGGTAGGGTCTTAGGGCGTTGCATTCAGTGTTTGGATGCAGGAGTGGGTTTTGGCTCGTCAGATGAAGGCGCATGCAGCCAGGAGAAAGTTTGCAATGTCTCATAGGGGCTACACCGAAACAACATTCTCAATCCCGGTATCCCGCTCTTGTGTAGAGGCCGAACGGGGTTTCAGAAAGTTGTTGGTACCTTACTCGGCAGGGTTCTACAATAGTACAGGCTGGGTCCGTGTTAGTTTTTGTTTTCTGTGACTCCTCTGTAGCTGCACGATTGCAGAACTGCCGCGCCATGCATCATACTTACAGCAGCTCCTCGTGTGCCTAAGCCTTGTATTTTGGTCCTTGTGCCAAACCGTAGGTTTCCCGCCTACAGGAAAACGCTATATAATCAGGCATGTGCACCCGATGAAATCCACAGCTCAGGGGATCTCCACCATCATGATCGCTGCCTTCCTGGCGACCTATGTCCAAGAGAGGAGAAGTTCACGCAAAGAGCCTGAGGATGTGTGAGCGCTTCTCGTGGCCCTGCATTCCTAAAACCAACAAGCAACTTCCCCTCAAGCCCAGCGCCAGGTAACCGAGGGCTTAGGCTTAGTCAAAGAGCCCATAACCCTGATAGCCAGAGCGGCTCCCCTACACCTTGAAACCTCAAACCTAAACCCTTAAAACTGGTGAATGCCATGCCACATCTCGCCGAATGACAAGGGCTCCAGCCTCAAGGCCGCGTGCGCCAAAAGAGGCATTGCTCGGGGTTCGGGTTCAAAGCCCGATTCTATCTGGTAAGATCCCTACATCTGTACGAACCTGTACGAACTAAGACCTAAAGTCCAAACACCGAACCCTGAAATCCCAAACTCGACAGCCCTTTCTAAGTATTCCGACTTTTGCTCAGGAGGCAGCTAGCATGTAGGCTCTAAGCTCTGAACACTAAGCTGCCTTCTTCAAGTCTGTTCGCCAACGGGGGCTAGTGGCTTCACATGGGTACATGAGAGCGTGTTTTGTAAAGGGTTCACTAGAATACGCCTTGCAATATGAATGACTTTCGCCGAAAACCTTGACGGGATTGTGTGGATGGAAGCAAGCGGAAGCGCCGCGGAAGCAGTTGGTCCGCGGAACGTCCGCGGAAGCTCGTGTCAACCTGAACATAAGTCATGCCGCAGATATCCCAGAAGCCATTCACGGAAGATTGCAGGCTCAGAGGATTGCAGGAGCCAAGTGGTGCCGCAGTGACCACATGTTCGACGGGCGAAGTTTGCCCAAACAAACAGCTTCCTCAAGACTCCAGCTCTGACCCGCGGAAGCAAACCCCGCAAACTCAGCGAAAAATGCACCCCAGAACGGAGCCACGCAAGCGAAATCAAAGTTGATGCCCACGCAAGCTAAAGCCTTGCGCGCGACAGCACCGTGGAAGGGTCTACGTAACGCTTCCTGATTTCTCTACACACAAACAGGAATAACAAAAACAGCAATGAGGGTGGCCAACCAGCCGGGACGCGGTCCCTTTGTTAGGGTTTAGGATTTAAGACAGAGAGAGAGAGAGAGAGAGAGAGAGAGAGAGAGAGAGAGAGAGAGAGAGAGAGAGAGAGAGAGAGAGAGAGAGAGAGAGAGAGAGAGAGAGAGAGAGAGAGAGAGAGAGAGAGAGAGAGAGAGAGAGAGAGAGAGAGAGAGAGAGAGAGAGAGAGGGAGGGGGAGAGAGGGAGAGAGAGGGAGAGAGAGGGTGAGAGAATTTGTAAGGTCCGACACTGTTAACCTAAGGCACATCTGCAACATGGGGATGGTCATGCTGCCCAAGTCCCTGGGGTCAGGCCATCATCTACACATTGAACTATATTGAACTCATGTTTGAAAACATCAACATAAAGCGCTGTTTTATAGTGAGAGGATTGTAAAACATCAACTATGCGATAGTGACTTGAAGTCAAAACACCAACATACAGGCGCCTCGTGGACATGTGTAGTTTTGCTTGTGCTGATCGAAGGTTTAGGGTCCTTTCGTTTGGAGTTCTCGGCACCAACTCCGAAACCATATTCCACGGTTTTGGTTGTAGACTAGGATAGTTACGTTTTTCCTACAAGCTTTAGGGCTACAGGGCTTAGAATAAGATAGGTCCCGGCAGCAGGGAGACCGTGATGCAACAAAAACGATTTTAACAAGGTTTAGGAATTAGGATTACATTCTGAAGAGCAGCGGAGGGCAGTGCTGGCAGTCATCAAGTCCGGTTTCAAAAAAAGGATTACATTTTGCGGTGAGTCCAGAAGTTTCGAGCTCCGGTCGAGAAGCCTGAAACACGAAGACTTCCCTGCAAAGCTTCTCGGGCGCCGGATTCCCGACCCTGCTCTCTAACGCCACCTTGTAAGCTCTATTTGTTGTTACCCGCTTCACGATCTTCTTTGAGTTTCGCACGGCCATGCTCTAAGCTCTGGACTTTGGAGCCTTTCCGAATTCTCCGTTGTCTTTCGGCCCGAAGCCCATGGCAAAGCAGAATGCAACCCAGCCCAGCAATTCCAGAAGCCTGGCCACGGGGGCCTCAGCGCCCCAGAGCCTCCGCCACCTGAAGCCCTAAACTCCCCAAGACTCGATATGTCCCAAGACACGCGAAGTCTGACCCTCAACCCTCAGGCATAAGACAAGCCTAAGCCTTAAACCCTAAACCCAAGCCTTAAACCCTAAACCCTAAACTACCCTAAACCCTAAACCCCTAAACCCCTAAACCCTAAACTACCCCAAACCCAAAAGCCCTAAGCCTTAAACCCAAAGCCTTACACCCAAAGCCTTACAAAGCCTTCGAAGTCCACGAACTGACACGCGGATGCCGGAGTCTACTGCCGGGCCAGGCCCTGGCTTCGTAGAATGCCGCCCGGCTGCGGACATGGTCTTCTAGGGTGTTAGGCTTTCGACTTTTAGAGTTTTGGACTAGAGTGTTAGGGTTTCGTTTTTAGAGTTTTGGACTAGAGTGTTAGGGTTTCGTGTTTAGAGTTTGGGATTTAGGGTTTAGGTTTTAGGATGTTAAGGCCTGACGCTTCGAGGGCCTGTGTGAGAGAGACGGGTTTTAGGATGTTAGGGACGTTGCAAGCGAGTTGCAAAAGGATGTTAGGGTGCTTGCTCGAACTCCGGGCGAAGTGGAGAGCCTATTGCAAGAGAATGTTGGGGTTCCCTTTAGCATGGTATATGGGTTCCTATCCCTTGAAGAGTTCTGCAGGGTTCTATCAGGGTTTAGGGAAGTTCAGGGCGTAAGCTTGCACCGTTCCTATACGAGATTGTCTTAAGATGCAACAACACAACAAAAATTAACACCCAAACTAAACCCACACCGAATAAACACTACACTACGTCCGTTCCACCTGTTAGACTGTAACCCGGCAATCGCCTACTTACTACTAGGTGCCGACCCCTCAGTCCAAAGATCTCTTTGGCCCTCGCTTAGGGCTTAGGGCGTCGGGTTTAAATCAGTATTTGTAACCTCCTTACTAGGCCCCCATAGTCCTTCAAGTGATTTCTGCAAATCAAGCCTTCAAGGCGTAAGACCGCAAGACCTTACACCCCCCCAAACTTTCAACGCTCAACCCCAGATGGCCTCTACCCTTCATCTCGCAAGTCGAGTTTCTCAGTGCCCAGACTTGTTCAGGTGGAACCTGCCGACACTCACAGGAGTGACTAGAGTCTGGAGATTAGGGCTTGTTGCACGAGAGTTTGCAAGACTTCGATTTGCGTTTGAATGGATCTCCCTGCCCTAGACTAGCCTCTAAACAGACGCGCTGCACATTTCCAGCTCCGTCTGACAGGGTCTTTTCAAGTTCCTGGTGAAGACAGAACTGAATGAAAGCATCTAAAGCATCTTGCCGCAAGCCTTCAGTGAACCCAGATCCCTAAACAGCCCTTTGAACGAAGCCTGGAATCTTAAAGCCCCACGACTTAGAACCTGTAAGCTGCAAACCCGAAACCCCAAATTCGTGAACTCTAAATGCCATATTTCATCCGAGTCCGAATGTGAGAGCGTAAGCCCAAGGCCACAGGAGATCGTGCCGGCGGAGACCGGGACCGTTCTGTCGCTGTGGTTGAGGCTTTAGGTTTCGGATTTAAGGGGAAAGGGGGCTGTTGCTGTAACCGGGCTGCTGGACAACGAGGCCTGCTGCAAAAGGTTTCGGATTTAGGAAGCGTGCATACAGGCGTCGCGGCTCGAGCGGAAGTAGCGGGGCGTCTCCTTTGGAGTTGCCTTTGTATTTTCCGTATTCCCGACCCCAGCGCTCTGCGCGATAGCGGCACTCCCTGGGCGGCGGCTGCTCACTGGTTTTTCTGGTATTCGGGTTTTTCCTCACGCTGCCATTCGATTGGCCGTCAGGTACTACCCCCACCTGGACTTTTCCAGGTGCATGACCGCCCCTAGGCGGTACGGCCCTCTGTTTCCGCTAGCTGCCTTTGGCATCTGGTTGCTTATTTGGGGCCAGCACGGGCAAGAGAGTGCTTCGTGCATCAAGCCCTCCGTGGCACAGACGTGCCCGAAGGCAGCGAGCCTTCGCGAGGAAGAGGTTGCGCAGCGGCTTTTTCCAGGCCAGGGACATACGACTTCTTCTTCACCACCACGGAAGTATGCCTCCCAAAAATCCTGGTCAATCTGCTGCCTCACAACAAGCTGGAGCCAAAGGCAAGGGCAAGGGAGATGCCCAGCAGGTTTCCAGGGTGGAATTCGGACTTCCCCAAGGTGTTGTCTCGGCTCTGCAATCTATTCAGAACAGGTCAACGCAGGATCTGTGGGGTCCTGCAGCAGTGCTGGAGTCTCAAGCCACAGCGGAACAGCGATTCCAGCGCCGTTCCAACGATGCCAATCGTCTATCCAAGCGCCTATCCGGCAACATGCGTGCAAAAGAGGAGCTGGCGACAGCGCTACAGCAGTGGTTTATGCTTGTGAGCCAACGCCTGGTCGGGCTTATTACCCAAGTCAGGGCGCTGGGCAGCAAGTTGGACGAGGACACCACTGTGGCGGCTGCCGAGATGAGGGACATTTTGGCAGCACAGCCCTCGGAGCTCACCACGGCTCAGGTTGCCAAGGCGGAGGAGACCATGGGCCCTATTTGGTCTCCTTCGCAGGAACACGTGGTGATGCAGTTGGCTGCAGGCCTCAAGGCTTTTGGAACAGTGCTGCCTGCACCCTTACCTGCAGAGCCTGGACCGCACGCCCTCTTCGCCATGGAGCCTCCGCAGCTACCCTCCGGCCCTGTCCTAGCGCAAGACGGTGCTTCCGATGTCAGTTTTGGTCAAACTGGACTTCGCGACCTGCCTGGGATGACCCCGACCTCCACTCCTCTTGCAAACAGAGGTGCAGCGGCGGATGTCGAGCTACCCCGGGCAGCCCCCGTCCTTGGGCAGCCCGACTCCTTGAGCTTCGGGTCCATTGCTCCGACCGTGGTATCTGGGCGATGGCGAAAGCGCAGTGCAGGCCATTCCGACCGGCCCTCGAAGAGCCCCAGGAGAGATCATGTGGAACCACCTTGGACAAGAGAAGCGACGGGCCGTACGCCCGACTCTGTGCAACGCGCTCCGCAAGTGGCTGTGGTCGACGACGGCCCCGAGCTCATCCCGGACCCTACGTCCAACAGTATGAGTCCTTGGACGGTGGCGTGGCTTGCTATGCTCCATTTCTGCACCGAGAACGGAGCGGACCTGATCGGCGAACTGAGGCAATGCTCACGTCAAGATGCAGCCCTGCCACTCACTGTGGATGCACAGGCCCAGGAGGTTGTGGCGCTTGCTGCCGAAGCTGTCTGGGAAGGCATGTTGCGTGCGGTGGCCAAACCGGAGCTGGCCCATCTCCAGTCCCTTCACCGAGATCTGCGAGAGGTCATGCAGCAGCTTTGGTTGTGTTCCAATGCCCTCCCGTCTGCCAGGCAGGGACTCCTTGTGGCTGCTCACTTGACTGCGGGAAGGATTGTGGACCCGTTCTCGTATGCGCCCTCTACAGCACAGGAGTGGCTCTTCCCGGACCTACTTCTCGAGGCCGACGCCCCGATCCGTGGCTTTATTGCAAGAGATGCGTCACAGGACTCAAGAGTTCAAGTGCTGCTCCGGATGCCATCACCCTTCCTCCGAGTGACCGACTCTGCGGACCCCAAGGAGCTAGAGTGAATCGGCGAGAACACCAGCCGCTCTGCAACGGCCCCGACCTTGTAGCAGTTTGCCCTGCTGATCGTGCTCAAATAGGGTGTGTTTGTTCACACCTTATTTTGATCACGGCCAGCCTTTTCCTCGGGCGCTGCATCATAGTGTGTATAGCCATACGTAGAGTCTCGGCTGTCACTGAAAGGTTCTTTTCGGCCTACGGTCCCAGATTGTCCTGGCAACGCTCTTGGCAGCTTGGTTGCACCCTTTCTGCCTCCGCGTGGTGGGCTGCGGCAACTGTGTGCCCGCCCCTTGCCATGATGATGTGCGCAGGCATCAGTGAACTTCTTGCCTTCCTCCCAGGTTGGGGTATGGACTTTTACCCCCAAGCCCTCCTCGCCCTGTCTTGGGCATCGCATCAATGGCGCTGTGCTTGCGGGCTCGTCCTGCCTTCGGCATGGGTCACTCGCCTCAGGGCTGCTGTGTTTGGAGAGCCTGGCGTGGCGTGCGGTGTTGGGGTCCTTTCTGCGGGTCTTAAGATTCGAGGAGCTAGGCACCGTATTCCAGTGCGTCCGTGTCGGAACAGTGGGCCCTGCCTGAGGATGACGCTTCTTCTGCTCTACCTTTCAGTTGCTGATGGCGTCACTCTCCACCTCGGCGCGGCGGTTGTCTCCTCCTGGTGGCTGAGATCCTCCACTGCTGTGCAATTACATGCCCACGGCTTTCATGAGGGCCTCCCTGTCCTCAGCACGGGGCCGGTTCTGCCCACTCCTACTGCTGAGGAAATGTGTGAGGTTTACCCTGTCGGCCGCACGGGTAACTTGCTTCTCCCACGCACCGACCGCAGTCGTCGGCACCTTGCTGCCTTTGTGGGTACACCGCCTGGGGCTCCCATTCTCGAACCTTGCCCTGTCCCTTTCTTGGTTGACGAATGGTTGCATGGGCCGCTCTTGCATGCCCGGCTTGCTGCCACCTTGGGATTCCCTGCTGGTGTCTTCTCTGTCTCAGCCATCCGTGGGGTCCTTCCCGGCCTGCCAAGTGAGCAGCTTCTTCTCACTCCGGCTGCCTGTTCATGGCGTCAAGTCTGGCTGCCCGTTGACCTCCGTCCGCTAGGAGGCCGCATATGCATGCTTATGTGCCCCCGTGACTCTACTTGCAGAGCCATTGCGGTCCTTGCTCTCGCGGCTCAGACGATGCAGACTGAAGTTGACCTTCTGCTTGCTAAGTGCCCCTGGGGATGGTTGACGCTGATGTCCCAACCCCTCCTTCTGCAGGACGTCGACACTCTGCAATTTCATATTGGCCCAGCTGCTGATGCGCTGCAAGGACCTGTCGGTGCTTCTTTGGACCCGCCCCTTTCGTTGTTCTCGGCCATGCAGGTGAGCCTCCCGACGGCACCCTCAGCCCACGAAGCTTTCCCGGGCCACTCGCATAACCAAGCTGTCCTCATCACCCCTAATGGACTGGTTTATGTCGAAGCCCCGGTATTTGCTGACGCCGCTACGTTTCGACGTATTGTGTCTACTAGGGCATCTCCCAGTGCTTGTGGGGGGGTCCTCCGCATCTGGCATCCGCTCCCTTCCCTTCCCCTTGTGCAGTTCATGGAGGTTCACTGTACTAGGGATGAGGTACCCTGCATTCTCGATTTCCGTCCAGTTGGCTGGAGGCTGACTACTGTTTGCGTTCCTCCTCCTGTTACTGCTCTTGCGGCTGTTACGGTTGCTTCTCGACGGGACCGCAGCAGCCTCCCCCACGAGTGGGTCGAACAGTGCGCCCGTGGCGGGTTCGGCCTCCTCCATCGAGAGCTTGCGGTATTACCAGATCAGGTCCTCACCAGCAGTGTCCCGATTGTTGTCATGTTCTTCCCGCATGTCTTCCGTCAAGACTCTTCCTCCTCCTCGGAGGACCAGGTAGGCGGCTGGGACACCCCGGGTACCTCTGACACCATTTCTGCGCTGCAGCACACCCTGTTGCCCTCCCCTGCTAGGGCTTCCTCGTCTACTGCCATGCCCGCATGCACTGGAGTCACCCCGGCTGAGTTTCTCAACACCACTTCCCCCAGTGCCTTGGTGCCGGCCGCCGAGCCTGGCTCGGCTTCCTCATCGGTCGTTAGCCAATTCAGCGGCACTCGGGGTATTCTCTTGGCTGCTTGTGTGTTGCGCGGGCTGCACCATGGCGTCGGGAGCCCCCTTGCCTGGGGTGCGTGCCTCGTCATCTCCTGTGGGATGCCTGGTAATGCCGTTCAGATGCACAGTGCGCCTGCCACTCCTAGGGATGTTGTGGTTTCAGCTAGTAGGGCTCCTGACCGTCAGGTTGCGGCACCAGCAGGTGCCCACACGCATTTACAGGCCAGGTGGCTTCAGGTTGGCGACTTTGGTGATGGACCGCTTTGGTCAGTTTTTCCCTCCGCCAGTGAGGTGTTTCTCATTACTTGCCGCCTTTGGTGGCCCGGATCTTCGGTCCGCCTTGAGTTTGCCAACACTGAGAGTGCTCGCGACGCTGCCGCCGAGCTTTACCGTCAGGCCATCCGAATAGGTCGCCCTCAGATTGTTGCTGCTTCTGCAGGCCCTACTCTTGAGGCGGTTAACCTTGTCGCTCTCCCGTCCCGCCCTGAGACCCTAACTGTTCTCCTGGACCTAGGTAGAGAGGTTGTCTGTGTTGAGCTGCCCAAGGAATACAGTGCTGATCATGTTCTTGAGGCTGCGCAGACCGCGGCTGCTTCGGCTGACGTCCAGATCCTTCGGGGCACTGCACATCGGCTTCGCCAAGGCGACGTGGTACGAGTGCGTGTCAACACTGAGGCGCGCACCCTCGATGTTTCAGCCTTTGTTATTCCACACAATGCTGGCACTGCATCGCGCTGGCTTCAGGAAGGCCGAATCGTGTCGCTGCTTCATCCTGTGGCTGGAGTGTTATCTTTCGAGGTCCCGCGTGCTTGCGACCTTGATACTTCTGTGCTGGGCGCGTTGCTGCGCAGCGTTACCCCAGGCCAGCATGTCTTCGTTGCGCTACCCGGAGTTGACCTTCTCCCTCATGCCGCCTTCGTCGCCGCCTTCCCTGGCCAGGACTGTGTCACATATCGGTTGACTGATGCGTCTGACCCCTCTGCTGTGGGTCTGCACTTGGCCTTCTCCGGCGTCTTTGAATCTTTCCCGGCCTTCTTGGAAAGTCTTCTTCGCAGCAACCGCCCCGCCGCTGCTCTGCTTCGGAGGTTGCAGCCCTTCGGCCTCTCTGTTCTAACCTGGGAATGCACTTCCTTTCCTGGTCGGGCTGACTGTCGCTACTGGCATGTCCATGTGCAGGCTGACTTTGCACGGGCCCGGGAGCACCTTTTGAGCCTCAGCTGGGAGCCGAGACTTGTTCGCACGCCTCCGCCCCTTCCTCCCCCTAGGGCTCGGGTTTTCCATAGCATAGGTTCCCAAACTAACGCCCCCTTCATTTCTGCCAGCACGCCGGCTGCTGTACTCCAGGCACCCCCGTCTGTTTGCGGTGCCGGCGTCACACCCGACTCTGCGTCCGAACTCGTTGACCTCTGGTGCGATGCATGGCACGTCAAGTGCTTGGTTGCATGTTTGCCCGGATTCACTGTATGGGCTCTTCGAGAAGGAAGCCGACTCTACGGTATGTGCACCCCTGCCCCCTCCTGGGAAGCTGTTGCACAGGCCCTATCCCTGTCCCTCTGGGAGCTCCCACAGACGTTTCTGTCCAGCGACAGCCGTGTTTGGCCATTTCCCCGTGACATCACAGGTGTTGCGATGCAGTGTGTCAGTGTTGGGTACGACTCTCCTGAAGGAGTCTCCCAACTAGTGCGTAATTGTGAGGCCGAGACGCCTAGCCCGCCACCGCCCCCGGGCCCTTTGGCCTCTGCTGCTCTTGGCTTGCCTTGCTTGCGGCGGTACTCGCTTCTGTGTGCTCTCAGCCTCCTTGTCCCTGTGGTGTCAGTCCGCGTGATGGTTGAGCCTGCTCCCTTGTTCTCTCGTCTCGCGGAATCCGAGACACTGCAAACCCGTCGCGACTTCTCACGGCCCTGCACCATGTCTTGGACTCACGAGCTTGCCCGACAGACGCACGGGTTTGCCCTTTCAGCACCTCAACTTGGCGCGTATGTTACTGGCACCTCACCCCACCCAGAAGTGCAGATGCACCTTTGGCTTCCTGGGCAGGGCCCAGTCCACTTGAGGGTTGGTGCACGCCACCTCGATCAGCATCTTAGTGCTTACCTTGGCGCCTTCTTGCCAGACTGCGAGTACGGACTGCACGTCGCTTTCGATTCCAGCCCCCAAGTGCTTGATCTCATCGTTTCCCCGCCTTCACCATATGGCTGGTGGATACTGCGTGACTCAATTGGTTGCGAGCTTCTCCGACCGGTGGTCCAGCACTACACTTCCCATTGCTCATTTTTCTTCTGCGCTGTGGAGCCGGATGGGGCTGTCCGTAACGTTGAGCCCTCTGCCGAAGTCCGCCATATGTCTCCCTGCCCGCAAGGGGCTCGGGCACTTATTACTAGTGTTCTTCCGGGATTAGAGGGTAAACTGGTTGATGGAGTTCTTCAGATTGTCGCAGCCCGGGCTCGGCTCCCCTCGCTTCTCGGCAGTCTCGCGTTGCTCCTGCTTTGCCGCCACGTGGCCTCTATGCAACCTCCCCAACTACTTGCTCTTGCCCCAGTCGCTGAGGCCCCGCCGCCCCCTCCGACAACCATTCGCATCTGGACTCTCAACATTAATGCACCCGTTGACTTACCATGGCGTCCTCAGGGTTACCCGACCCGTTGGTTGAGAGAGCTGATGTGCCGTCTACACCATATTGACGATCCCGGTGAGTTCCGGCCCACACATTCCACTACGGACAGCTCCGTCCAGCATGTCCTTTTCGTGCCGGTCGTTCCTGCCACGCGACCCACGGTCCGGTTTTGGCTGCTCCACTGGGGGGACGCTGCGGCTGTTACTTTCGGGCATTCGCCCTTTAGTTGGGATGTCGTCTCTGCCCATCTCAGAGCTCTCTTCCCGGGGGGCCATTTACCAGAGCGGAGCCCCGCTCTCTCCTACGCCGGTCAGCTGTACCCGCCAGGAGTTGCCTTGCCTGATTTTCCATCCGGAGCTGTCAGTCAGATTTTGATTGGTGCTCTTGCAAGGATCCCGGGCGATGATGACCCTTGGAACCCGGATCCGCTGGTGGTTGAGGGACCTTACTTCCGGCACGTTCCGAGTAGGGGTCCGGCGCTAGAACCTGCCATCCTCCTCGATGGCCACGGGAACCGACGTGCCGCCGGCGCATCGCATGTCCCTCTGATTGACCAGGAAGTCCAAACGGACCTCTCAGGCAATGGCACCGGCCTTGATCATGCTACGGTTTCCCGAGTTCACATGCTGTCTCAGGAGCTTTCTTTTCACACTTCACGACTCTGGGCCGGACTTGCTGAACCGGATGCAGAACCGGCTGGGGAATCGCAACCTGTTCTGCGACTCGCCTCGCAAAGTACCTGCGCTGCGGTCAACCCCTCCACTGTTGATCTGCTCGATATTGCGAGTGTGTCGGGCTGCCGGCGACAGGATAGGCTTTCGGTGGTTGTTCTTACCTTAGTTTGCACTCGGGGTTTATTTGGAACTTCGGCATTCGGGCGCCTCCTTGTCCTCGCAACCTTAGGTGCAGGTTCGATTATCAGTGCGCCGCCTGCTAGTTCAGATGACGAACAGTCCGAGGATGAAGGTCCACCACCTGTTCAAGCCTTCAACATGTCTGCTGCTGAGCCCACCCCGGTCTCTCGACCTGCCGGCCCACCACCACCAGAGCCTGTCAATGCTCCTTTCCAGCCTCGTATGTGGTTCCTCCGCGCCGCCCGGCCGCTGGAGGACTATGCGCTAGGCCTCTGGCCGTCTTCAGTTGAAAGGGAGCCCGCCGCGGACGAGGACACTGTCCGCCGTGTTCAAGCCGATTTGCTTGGTCTTCAACGTGGCCTGCGAACCTTTGCTGCCGCTATTCCCCTTGGCACCCCTTTCTGCATTCACAATCCCTTCACCGCCCGACAGCAATGCGAGCTTGTTGAGTATTCTGCTGGCCCTGAGATCAATCCCTTTGTTTTATTCAGGGGACACGCCCGCAGCCGGGGTTGGGCCGATATTGTGCTCCTGCAACCGCAGCCTGATGCTACTGCTGTACACCTTATCGGGTGTCCGCAAGCGCCTGGGAACGCAGCTGTCGGTATTGTGCTGGAAGGCCGCCTTGTGCCCTGCTGTCTCCCGGTCTGTGTTGGGACCGCGGCATTACGTGCTCTGCAGCTTGACGGGAGTGAGTGCGATCTTCGCCCCCCTGAGGTTCAGGAAGGGTCCTCGGTCGTCCAATTTCGTAATGGCGGCTGTCTGGCTGTGCGACCCCGTTCTCAGTCACGGTCTCCTCCTCCGCCGGAACAAGTCGCCGCCTTTGCTGCCCCGACCAGCGAAGCTGAACTTGCTGCCGGCAGCCCCGACATCCCCTTCTCCTCACAAGGTCGCCCCGTTTTGTCTTGGGGCTGTTTCTCACTGATCTTCTGCCGGGTTACCCCATCAATGTGCCTCTCTCTTGGACTCCTTGCTGGCGCTGCTCTAGCACAAGGCATGCATAGACCAGGCGGCTTTCCTTGGGGTACCGATCCAATCAACCGTGACTTTTCCGCCATTACGGCAGCGGTCTATGTTGTCCTGCATAGTCCCTTCTTGGGGGTGTTTCCCCCATACACAGCCTCCCATGACACTCGCCACGGTCAAGTCTGGGCCCAGTTCCTCAACGACGACCCGGGATGGGCATCTGATTTCTTTCCTGTGTGGCCGGGCCCCGCCTTCAACGAGTTGTCCATGGTCCCGGTGGGACAAGATGCGGCCCTTGTGACCATTATGCTGATGTGGCGGGGCCACCATAGGGCCACGCTTACTCCGCGGACCATGACAGTGGCGTGGTTGACAGCCTTTATCTCGCGTCACATCAACAGCCCCGTTGATGGCATTTCCCTGCCGCACGGGCTCGCGATCTGCGAGCTCTTTGATGTTCCGCCCGCGGCTTTCCGTTTTCGCAACGGCGATGTCGTGTACATCCATGACCCTCCGGAGGACCCTTCTGAGCCGCTCGAGTTTGTCGATCCTTGGCACCTGCAGGATGGCCTTGCAGCTCACCACGCTCCCTGGGCTACGGGCTTTCAACTTATGTTCGGCATTTCTGTGCACCTGCTTCGCCCTAATCGCCCACCCCTGTTGGCCTCTGTTTCAGCTGGAGAAGCCTGGTGCCCAGAATCCTTTACGTTCACCGGCACTTTCCGTAACCACTTTCCGGGCATGTGGACACCCGTCCAGTGGTCCAGTGCCCGGGCCTTACAATTGATCGAGGTCCACGGTGTTGTGGCTCAGGTTAACGTGGTTGCTGCCTCTCCTGAAGGCCGCCTTTGCCGTACCGTTGATCGGATCGCCTCGCGCGATAGCCTTGCCGATCAACTGCACTTCCTCCCTGGATCCCTGCAAGTGGGGGGAGTTCCCTCCTACGCTCTCAATCAGGCCTGTGAGCTTCGGAATGGGGATGTCGTGTTCGGCGACTTTGCCCGAGGGGCCTGCAGCGGCCGTCCACTCCCGTGGGGTTTGGCCCTGGGCCTCGTCCCAGCTCTCTTCTCCTGTCGAACGGGCACCTTTCTTTCGCTTCTGCTGGGTTCCCTTGGGGCCCATTCCGGCCTTTTCTCCCGTCTTCTCATGCTGACCTGGTGCCTACATGGCTCGCAAGCTATGGTTCCGGAAACTTCGGTGTTGAGCCAGACCACATCCTCGGTTATTCCACCAGCTGCCCCACCCAGGGTCTCGGTCACTGTGGCCAACCCTTTTGCGCCATGGCATCGTGTTGAGGCCGACCCACGTCACCTCTTCGATGATGTTATGGCAGACGCCCACCGCACTTTGACATCATGGCACCGGGGATTTGCTGCCACTGGCCTGGTTTTAGAAGGGTCCCAGGTTGTTGTCCCTCTCCCGGGAAGTAGGCTGGTTTGCCTTATTGTCTTGGGTTTAGGTCAGATGCTCTGTGTCATCCTGCCGTCCTTCCTTACCCCTCGAGACCTCACTCAGGCCCTCCAGATGAGGCTTGGCCGTCGTGTGAGCCTTAAACTCCAGCCCGGACTGGGGGCCACCGCTCACTCCGATCGGCCAGTCCTCGCACTCCGTTCTGGAGACGTTCTAGCTGTCTGCCCTCTCCAACTGGACCCTCTCGCAGGGCCTCGCGAGCCCCCGGTTTACTTGACATGGTGGCCCAAGCCTCCTGTGTGCTACTGTGGTCCCCTAGCCGTTCCGCTAGGGTCGTGTTGCTGGGCCATCAGGCCAAATGGGACGCAGCGGCAGCTACAGTTCTACATCATGAGGTGGAGCTTGGCCATCACCGCTGGGCCCCCTGCCATGGACATCTAGGCGCTCCCCCCTGGCTCGTCGAGCAGTCTCCCTCTCAGGGGCATGCCAACATTATTCAGTCTAGTGGGGCCACAAGGTGTGTTGAGACCGCTCGGGACGCTGCGCATGATTTCTATATTGCCGGGTACTCCCTTCGACCTGCCTCCAGCCGGGCTTGTCAGGTTGCTCAGACCAGGGACGGAGACTGGTGGGTTCTTTCTGCTGCATTCGGTCTCCTGGGGAGGCGCCCTCTCCTCCCTGCCCAACTCGCTCTTATCTTCTTCGGGCTTCTTGAACCTGTGTGGGGAGCGTCCTCCAGTGCCTCTGGCCGCTGCCCCAGCGCGGACTCCTCCGAGGCGCGTACCATCCGCACTAGGCGACGGCCCAGCAGAAGTCGCTCACCCTCCTATCCCTGGCCTGGAAGGTTCTTTCCCCCTGCCATCGACTTCAATGATGGGGAGCCCTATGTTCCGCTAGGTGGTTGGCAGCCCGATAACCCCGATGGCCCACTCGCACGTTACTTCCCTGGTCCCCGACCACTCACGGCTCGTGTTTTGTGCCCCCTGAGGGGATGGAGCGAGACCAGCTTCCTTGACACGACCAGATCATGGCGGTCTATCGAGCAGGAAGGTACGCGCCACTGCGGGCTTTGGGCCCATCGCTTCTTCCCTGTCCGGGCGGTGCTCCCAATTTCCCAGATCACAGTCGCTCCGGTTGCCCCATACGGTCTTGCTACTGTGGCTCTGCACATTGAGGGTTGTTCGGCCGTTGCTTTTGCCTCGGTGGACTCGTCTCTTGATGACATTCACCGGCTTGCTGTTCGCGTCTTACCTCACACCCGGTTTTGGCGCGTCATAGCACCACCTGTGCTGCGCACTACCATCCCGAATGTGCATATCCGGCTCCGCAACGGCGATGCTTTTAGCCTCCTTCCTGAGCCTTCCGATCCGGGTGCTACCCGTTATCCCTTGCTGCAGTATGCCTCCCTGGACCGGGCACGGCAAGTTGCCAGCTGGTCGCTCCCTTTTCGCTTTGACTCGGGCGGATACGTCTGCCTGTGGTATACGGGTCGTCGATCTGGCCACAGCATTCGGATCAGGGATACCGGCTATTGGGATCCCGAGGGTCCCACCTTCTGGAGTCTTAATGGCAGAGCGCTGTCAGGGTCATGGGTCCCTGTCCTCTCTGGGGATCTCTCCAGTCTGCACCTGGTACACAGCACCTCCACTGGTGAGGCCCATGTCCTTCTCTTACTGCCCCCCGATCTTGAGCCTCAGGGGTTGTTGCTCGCTGGTTGCAATGCCTACCGTGCACCGCCTGGGTGGCGCCTTCTACCTGCTCTGCAGTACGTTCGGGCAGATAGTCCTCTCCGAGATGGAGATGTTCTTGTGCTGGACCCGACTGCTGATACGGTTTGGGACCCTACCGGACCGCCCCCGCAAAGCCTTGCGGGTCCGGCCCCGGGCCCAGTTGCACGCCCACGCTGGGGGCCCTCGTCCTGCTGCCGCCGCCATCTCTGGTCGCTGGGCCTGGCTCGCGGTCCTTTCCGCCAGATGGCCCCGGCTTCTCGCCCTGGCTTGCTTGGTTTGTGCCGGTCAGGGTATGGCTCCCGCACTGGATTTGCCGGAACAGCCCATTCGTGTGGGTTTCTTCCCGTGGCGGGCCCCAGCCGCTGCGGCTGATCTGGTTGATCTCACCAACCGCACAGAGATTGACATTGTCCTTCTCAGTCCCTTCACAGGTCCCCAGGAGGCTGGGCGACTGCCCACTGCCTCGACTACCGGAGAGCTCAATGCTCTCACACGCTCCTGCGACCCAACTTGGGGTGCTGAAGTTGCACCTGTGTGGCCGACAGCTGCCATACCGGCCCTACTGGTTGTTCCCCGTCCCCTGACGCCAGACCTTGTCTGCTTAGCGGTCTCCTCCTTGGATCGGCACTTCTCTATCCTTGTGCCTTGCACTACCTCTGTGTCCTGGCTGGGCGCGGCTCTCCGCTTCCTACAGCCGATGCAAACTCTCTCTGTTCGCGCACCCAGTGCTCTCACAGCCGATGCCACATCTGACCAAGGCGTGCGCTGGCGATCTGGAGACCTGGTTGTTGCATTGCCTCCTGCAGCTTTTGCGCCCGAATACCAGCCCCCGTGCTTTCACTCCGACGCTCAAGTGCGGCATTGCGCCATTTGGGCTGTTGATTTCTCGGTCTCCACCCGTGTCAGCTTCATACTCTGGAGGCCCGCTGTTCGAGCCATCCGGGGACACGCACCGGCAGGCAGCCGCTGGCGTGCTCTTGATTATACTTTTGATGGTGACTTTAGCCTCCACTACCCTGGGCGTTGGGTCCCGGTTCCCTGGATCGCCCAGGATCACGCCCACTTGGTTTTGCTGCCGGAGGACCCTTCGCGGGTCAATGTCATTGTGGAAGCAGACGGCCATTGCTGGTGTGCCCTTGTCACAGCCGTTACTGATGCCTGGCAACTCTGGACTGAGCTCCCATCTATCTCCTCTCAGCCCCGCGTCCTTGGTGTCCCACACCAGGAACTGCGCCAAGGGACGACCCTTCGCAGCGGCGATGTTGTTTCCGGCTGTCCAGGACTCTCCCCCTCCTGTTGGCTCCCCTGCTCTCTGGGGCTTGCAGCTTGGTGGGCACTCGGCTCTGCCTCCTCGGCCCCTGGCTATCTTCTCATGTTTGCTTGGCTGCTCGCTCTCCCCCCGGTTTCGGGGGCACGTCTTCCCCACGAGAGCGGCAGTCGACAATGGTCTTTGGCAACGTCAAACTGTGACAGGTCAGCTGCCGAGCCGCCTGGCTTTCGCCACCGCCTCTGGGACCCCGCTAGGGGCCTCCTTGGACCTTTTCCGGGGCCATCTCTGTTTGTCCCACCTGCTCTCCAGGAGGCCGCGTTCGTCCACCTCAAGACCACCGGTTCATTGATTGGGTCCCGGTACCTTCGGCTCCGCTGTTTGCCACTGTGCTGCTCCAGTGCCCGCCTGCCACTAGAGCTGCACTTCTTCCCGCTACCTGTGCTGTGGCTGATCTTGCACGAGCCAGCAGCCACTTTATTCCTGACTTGTCATACGTCTTGGCTCCCCCGGAGGCTTGGTGCGGTACTGCTACGACCTGTAACCCCACCTTATTCCTCCGGTCTGGTGACGTTTTGACTCTGGCCAGCGCCACGTGGGCCCCGCGCCTCCGCTCACCCGTCGGGCGGTTTTGGGAAACTCTACTCCAGGCTCGTCAGCTAGCCTTCTGGGGCAGCCCCTTTCGCATCAGGCAGCCTGGACTCCTCTTTGCATGGTCCCCGGGAGAGCCGGTCCCGCTTACTGTCCCCACTACCAGTGATGAACAGTGGGATCCTGAACATTGCACCTTCCGCCCTTCTCTGGTCCGGTTCAGTGTCGGCCGCTGGATTCCAGCAGCCCGGGTTGACGACCTTGGGCTTCATCTTGTCCCTGAAAGCCCTAATCTTCATTGGGCCCATGTCTTGTCTGCCCGACCCCCCCTAAGCGTTCGAGTGGTGCCTCGCCATGGCGCAGATGGACTCCTGCGGGATGGTGACAGCGGCTCCCCCCTGGGCAGCGCTCCCTCCCGCACCTTGCTTCCGTTGCTTGCCAGTCTGGCCGTTCGCGGGCGTCTGGGTCGGCACTGGTTCTCTCTTCTCAGTGCTTGGGTTCTTCTGGCTGGGCTGCCCGAGTTGCTTCCGGGTACGGCGGCCCTTGGATTCCCGCCGGTCCCCACTCATGCCCTTGCTCGGACCCCAGGTCCTTCGCCCATTGGAGTGGATTTCGGGCTGCTCTCCCGCACCAGCTGCTATCTTCGTGCATGGGGGGCGCCAGATTGGCACAGCCCGGATGGACTCTCCTGGGCGGCAGATATTCATCATGAGTGTGCCGCTCAGGCTTCCTTGCACCAGTTGTGGTGGACGCACGACCTCTTCCAGAATCTCCCGGCATCCGCTCCAGCGCCTTATCGCCAGGCCTTCTCTAGTTTCCCAGTATGGTCTGGCGGTGTACCCGATCAGGTTCTCATCGCCACTGATGGGAGTGGCGAGCGGGGAGGAGCATGGGCCTTCTGCGTATGGGTTTGGTGGCGTCACAAGTGGCACCGGGTCGGGTGGTTCGGCGCCGCGGGGGCCGATACCCCTTGGTTCTCTGGAACTGCGGCCCCCGGGAGTGGTGTCTCCTTTCACGCTGAGCTTTGGGCCCTGCAAGCCGCGGGCCTCTGGCTCCTCGCTTGGGTCGACCGCCTCTCCCTTCTGACGTCAGCAGCGCCTGCCAAGGTCACCATTGCGGTTGACAATGCCTCTGCGCTCAGATCGCGGCTGGGCAAGCGCAGGCCAGTGAGCCAGTCACCACCCTTACTCGTTATATCTGGCAAGCTGTCCAGTCCCGTATGTCCACTCGCTTTCAGCACGTGCACAGCCATGTTGGCATTCTCCCTAATACGATCGCCGACTTTCTCGCTGGCTGGGCTGGCCGGACCTCGTGGCATCCCTGGAAACATGTCGATGCTGCCCTCCCCGCTCTGCTGCAGGAAGCGGCGCCTTGGCTCTGGCTCATTCCACATGCCAAGGTGATCCAAGGCAGACCCTGTATCCGTCTCACCGCGCAGTCACTCACCCATGCGCCAGCAGGTCGAGGGCCCGCTGTCCAGTGCCCTTCCACCGAGGTGCCCTGTGCGGCTCCGTCGCTAGAGCCCCAGCGACCGTTGTCGCTAGCACCCTCGCTATCCCTCCGCATTGTTACGGCTAATGTTCAAACCATGCGGGACTCTTGTGCCTCCTTCTTCAATCCGTCGGGTCATGGCCAGAGACGTCAATACTTGTACTCTCAAGTCGCCCAGTTGGGCCTCGATGTGGTCTGCCTTCAGGAGACGCGCAGCAAAGGAGGCCGATGGGATACAGCCGGCCTTCTCACCTGGCGCTCCGGTGCCCAAAAAGGTAGCTACGGTTGCGAAATTTGGGTTAGGCCCCAGATAGTTAACCCCCCCCTCCGCCTGGATGACTGGCGGATTGCCTGTGCTGACCCAAGACTTTTAGTCATAGTCTGTAAACGGGCGGACCTCCCTTTGGCCGTTGTAGCGGCGCATGCTCCACACGCCGACAGACCAGTGCCCGAAATCCACCACTTTTGGTCCTCACTGCAATCTCAGCTGTGCCAGCTCCCACGGGCCCTCACCTTAGTCTTGGGTCTCGATGCTAACGCTGATCTCCTTTGGGCCGATGACGACCATGCCTATATCGGGGATGCTCTCGGTAATGGCGAAGAAGGCGCGGGCGAGCAAGGCCTCTTTGATACCATCCAGCGTTTTGGCCTCCTCGCCCCCGCCTCCTTCTCGGACCTTCAGGACGGCCCGGGCTGGTCCTGGGAGCATACTGGCGGCACCCGCAAGCGTCTAGACCATATCTTGCTCCAGGCTGGCCCCTGGTCCTGCCGTCGCACCCGACAGCTTCCTGAGCTGGACATTCTCAATGGTCGTCGGGATCATATGCCGCTTCTGGTCGAGTGCGACCTCCGGGGCCAGGCCACCCGGCCCAAGCGCCGGCCCCACCCCGCGCCACTGTGCACCAGGCACGAGCCATTGCTGCCGATCTCTGGGGAGCTCTGCCGTCCACCTTCCGGCACATTGACAGCGTGGGAGCTGAAGTGCAGGCTCTTAAAACCAAGCACTCCTGCTTGCTCCGGGCCCTTCCTCGCCCTCCACGCCGCCCCATCCGACAGCCCTACATCACAGCGGCCTCTGTTGCCGCACTCGATCGAGTTCGGCAGGCGCGAGAACAGCTCCCCCGGCTGCGGACCAATCTGGAGTGGCAGCAGCGTCGCTTTCTCTTGCAAGTTTGGCGTCTGGGTTGCACACACCGGCACCCCGATGCTGCACCCCTGCGCCCTGATCCGACGGGCCTGCAGCATGCCCGCCTCCTTCTCCAGGCTTGTAATCTTCATGTTCGGGGGCTTCAGCAGAAGGCCCACTATCTTGCTAGGTCCGACAAGCTGGCTCATTTCCGCACACTTACTCTGGAGGCGACCAAACACTGGGAAGCCACTGGAGTCCCTTTGGAATCCATCCGGCATCTGCGTTGGGCCTCCCGCAAGGCACACGAGCGCCGGTCTGTCCACGCAGCCGGTGGTTTCGACATTGATAGTGAGTTGGAGGCCCAGTTCCGTGATCAGGAGGGGGCCAGTCTGGTCAGCCCAGTGCAGCTCTCCAGCGCCGCTGAGCGATGGATGAATGAACCGCGCCTCCCGTGCGCCGAGGCGGTTCCCACCCTCTTGCAGATGGAACAAATGTGTGTCCGACAGGCGGCCGCCAAGGCCCCAGGACCAGACGGACTGCGGAACGAGCTCTGGCGCGCGCAGGGAGCCTCAGCAGGGCAGTGGCTCTGGCCCCTGTGCGTGCGCATCGCTCTCCAAGGAAGGGAGCCTTTTGCCTTTAAGGCTGCCATTGTATGCGCCCTTTACAAGAAGGGCCCTGCCTCTCTTCCTGCCAATTACCGCTCTATCGCGCTACTGAACGGCATCGCGAAGCTCTGGCATTCGCACCTGCGCTCCACTGTGGGCGGCCACGTCTTGTCGCGATACGAGCCTATGCAGCTTGGGGGCCGCAAAGGTGTCCACACAGGATTTGCGTTGGCCGCCTTCCGTTGTGCCTGGGACCTTTCCATCTCTGCCGGCCGATGTGTTGCCGTGGTCTTCGTCGATATCCAGGCCGCGTACTATGAGGCCAGCCGGGATCTCCTCTTTGAAGGCTTTCCTGATGACGTTGCCCTGCCAGAGCATCACCACCTTGCTGGGCTGGTTCTCAGTCTTCAACAACAAGGGGCCCTCGCTGCCTTGGGTGTTGCAGAGGACGTTGTTGCGCTCCTCCGTGACTGCGTCGCCCTCTCCCACTGGTCACTCTCTGGTTCTTCCAACATTTTTCTTGCGTCACGGGGGTCTCGTCCAGGTGACGGCCTAGCTGATATCCTTTTTGGGGCCCTCTTCGCTGTCGGTCTTCAGCATATCCAGCGCGTTGCCACCCGCCAGGGCATTGTTCACACCAGCGCCGGCGCTGAAGTTGGCCTCTCCCCAGGGGTCAAGCCCATCGGCTGGGCTGACGACCTTGCGGTTATGGCCGATTTTGACCGACCAGCTGATCTTCTTGTTCAACTGCCCGCGCTGGTCGGCATTATCCTTGACACTCTCCGACTCCTCCGATTTCGTGTTAATTTGGGTGCGGGTAAAACTGAGGCCCTTGTTGACATCCGGGGGGAGGGCGCTCGGGCGGCCCGCGGAGCTCTCCTCACTGGTGATGCCATGTTAAAGATCTCTGATTCTGACAGCATCAAGTTGTGTCCCGAGTATAAGTATCTGGGTGTGGCTCAGCTGCCTCGGGATACGGGCCGCCGCGACTGTGAGCTTGCCGCCCAACGAGGCGCCGCTGCGGCCTCCCTTGCCCGCACCCTCCTCTGCAGCAATTGCTTGCCCTGGGAACTTAAACGGGCTTGGGTCGCGGGACGAGTCCTGCCCTCCGCGTATTCCTCCCTTGCTATGTCTCTGGCCGACTCCGGCCGTGCCACGGCCCCTCTCGCTGGCCTCTTCGATCGCACGGCCAGGATCCTGTTGTCCTCATGGCAGGTCGGGCACAAGCTCACCACCCCACTGCTTCGGCTCCTCGCTGACATTACTCCTCCTGACCTGGCTACTACCATCAGTCAGTGTCGCCTTTGCGTCCAGCTCTTCTGCAAAGCACCCACGGCGGTACGTGAAATCGTCGACGCAGCGTGGAACAGGGCCCTCCCTTGGTGCCAGGCCCTCGTTGCAGCATGTATGAGGGTTGGCGTTGCGCTTGAAGTTTGGGACCCTAACTTCCCCCCCGCTGTCACAGCTCTGTTTGTTCATACCCACAGCCGTGCCCTCCTTCGCGCCTGCAAGGCACTCAGCAAGTTTGGACATAGGTACATTGCCTGTGCTCAGCTTTGGGATGACCTCTCTACCCGTAAGGCCACCCAAATTCTAGGACCCCCCAGGCCCATCGATGCCCTGTGTGCAGCGTCATCTTCCCGAGCCTGCACGCGGTCAGAGCCCACATGCATCGCAAACATGGCGTGCTGTCCGATGTGACTGCTTACATGGCCGGCTCTGTCTGCCTCTGGTGTATGCACGATTTCCACTCTTCGGATCGGCTGAAATACCATCTGCAATCCCACCGGGCCTGCTTGCATGGACTGCGGGTGACGGTAGGGCCTGTCTATAGTATACCAATATGGGTCGGGCACCAAACGCAAGGGTAGAACGGCCCACAGGGGTGTTCCCCCACAACGCCTATGCGGGCCCTGCAATGCCACCCCAGCACAGCGTCGGGCCGCGGATCTGGGTCTGCCTGCTGATGAGGAGGAGCTGCAACAGGAGTGGGATGCAGTGCAGCGCTCACCGGCCCTCTCCGACCTCGTCCCCGGCAACCTGCAACGGGCCGTCACGGGGTCCTCCATCGCTGCTCCAACCCCTGCCGGACTTGGATTTCCCCAAGCTACGGCTCCAGTCTCGGAGCCCTCCCTGTCCCGCCTCGCCTCATCTTTGTCATTTGTGGGTTCCTTGCCCTCTTGGTTCTCCTTTGTCGATGGGGCTGCCTCAGGCCAGGATTGGGCTCTGCCTACACCCTGGTGGCCCGGGCTTCTTGCCATGGGTGGGGTCTTTCGGCTTCCCCCATCGTGGCATTGCTTCTGGCCCCTGTGGTCAGCCTTGGAGCTCCTTGCCCCTTGGGAGTTCCGGGCCTTCCGGTCGCTTGGCGTCCTCCGTCGAGCCTCGTCTTCCGGGCTTGGTGCTCCTGTGTCTCTTGGCGATGCGACCTCCGGCAGATGGTCTCTGTTGGGGATTGCTGCAGCCTTGATCTCCTTCCGTATGTCCTGTAAGGTTGTTCTGCGGTTTGGCGCCCTCTGGATTCCCGGGCGCCCCAGTCAACAGGGCCTTGTCCTCTTGCGGCGGCTGCTTCCTTCTGCCGTCTTCTTGGACTTCTGGTCCCCTGCTGGTCCTGTTTTCCTGGCTGCGAGCTCTGCTTCCTTGGCCTCGTCTGCTCGCGCCATCATTGCCGGCTCTGCTCCTGCGGCCCCGCCCCCGCTCTCCTTGCGGGCTTTCTGGGCCTATCCGGCTGCTTGAGGCTTTTCGTTTTGTACAGGCTCCCACTTTGTCTTTCTAGTTTGGCTACGATCCTACAGCAGGATCGTTTTTGGCCGTGCATGCTTTAGTTAGCACAGGACTCCCCTCTGGCATCAGTGAAGTGAAGTGAAGCGTGCATACTGCATTCGCAGGTGTCATGGCTGTTGTAAGTTAGGGGTAGTCTGAATTAGAAATAGTCATGTATACAGCATACTTCGACGCAGCCCGGATGGCCTCAATGCCCTAAGAGCCGAAGTCTACTTGGAGGTTCATAGGAAGCTATAAGTGGGGTTCAAAGTAAGGTAACTATACTTATCACGCATATTCGGGGGGACTTATAACTCCATTTATAACTACCCTAAGGCCCCAAAGTAGTTCCTTTTTTGGGTTTATATTTAGAATATAATGTAATCCCAAGAAGGAACTACTTTGGGGCCTATGGGTACCCATGAACCTCCAAGTACGCAGGACCAGCTTCGCATCCGATGCGCTGGCAAACCTGCAGCTGGAGAAGCTGAAAGCAGCTACTTGGGCCTCTCTTGGTCGGTCTAAGGGCTCGATGTAGGAGGGTGGTTGTAAAAATTAGGGTCCCTTTTTGGGTCCTGCTTATAATACGGCACCTAATATTTAGGGTACCCAAAAAGGGACCCAAATTTTGACAACCACCCAGGAGTTTACGGCCTTATGGTCTAGAGTTTTGGGAATTTAGTGTACGGCTTGGGCTATGTTGAAGGATCAGACACAGGGCTTCGGGGCGAAGGCTTCTGTAGGTTCGGAAGAAACTGCTAAAACCTCAACAGACCCATGCCCTACAACCCTAGTTGTGAGTGCTGAAAGCTTAAAATACAAGCCCTAAACCTAAAAAGTCCCGAGAGCCCCAGTCTCCCGAGGCGAACGATGGACAGAGATATGTGAGTCGAATCTGCCGGCCCCCCTGGCGTGCGTTGGGCGGTCCTTCTCGGGGTGGAAGTCGTCGCTTCACTATTCGTATTGTTCTTGTTATTATTGTTGTGTTTATTATTACTATTCTTACTATCATTATACTGTTATTGTTAGCGTTGCCCGTGAGCTTCAAAGATCGCAGTGGTTGGGCTCGAAAAAGCACAGACGCACTGCCTTCCACCAAGCCGTGCACCCTAAGCCATAAGCTACGAGCTTCAACCCGCGATCCCCATCTTTCTCTCTGTCTCTTCCTCTCAGATCTCTGTCTCTGTCCCCCTCGCTCCTATATGTGCCTCTCTAAACTCTAAACATAAGTATAAGTGCAGATTTAGGCTGTCAACAAATCAGTCAGTATGAGTATAGATAACTATGAATAGGAACGGTGGTCCATACAAAGAAATACGTACATATGTAAATAAACGTGTATATATATATATACACATGTATGTATAGGAACTTAATGTCAACATACATACAAACACGAGAGCGATTTACGAGCATGCAAATGAATCTCCGTCTACCAGCAATGCTCTTGTGGTCCGTCTGTAATGGGGTCTCCTTATTAAAGAACAAATAGTAGGAACAACGGTACACTCATCAGTCGGATGCGACTGAGTGACCCAGGATTAACCAATAAGCAAACAACGCACGCGCACATATCAATGCACACAAGGTCTCGGATTACAATGTTGTTCGAAGCATAACCCTAGCACCCGAACCCTGGGCACTGGACGTGTGCTTACTAAGTAGGAGGACAAAAGACGTAAGCACACGTCGCAGCCAGGATCAGTGGGCGTGTCATTGGAGCGCTGCTCGGCTGTCACTTTGGAGCGTGCTGGTCGCCCTGTTGGTGAAAGATTCCCTTCTCCACAGCATGGAGCATTTTGGACCGCTTGTGGTAATAGATCCCTTGCAGGAACTGCCAAAGGAATGTAGGGTTTACGGATCACGGATCCAGGTTTACAGCAGAAGGACACGGAGTGCTGAGGTTGAGGGGTGTAGTGTGGTGATCCGTGCAGGGGAACATCGACTCAGATGGGGCCGACATGTAGTAGTGCTGTAGGCGGAACCACCTAAACTAGGTTGTTTTTGCGTAACAAGACACTTGAGGATGGCACTGAGCGAGCGAGAGAGAGAGAGAGAGAGAGAGAGAGAGAGAGAGAGAGAGACAGAGAGAGAGAGAGAGAATAATCAATGCAATTCCATGGTGTTCCTTCGTAAGTATGCTTGACTATATCCCAAAACACCCAAGTATCACGGCCCCTATGTTATGGAATTTTGAGAACCCTTATAAGTAACCCCTGTTGATCACTGAAACGAAGCCTTAAAGGCACCCTGTTCTATTCATTTTCGCGCTACATGGTACCGTAACTGATCTGCCCCCTCCTTTGCTGAGACCTCTGTAAAGGACAACCCTCTCTGGGAGTGTGGTAGCCGCGCCTGCCCCGAAATGCGGGGTTATGTGTTGAGGTGAGTTCTCACTTCTAGGCACGTGACCTAGCTACAACGGTCCAGGAGCTTTTCAGTGTCTAGGGCTAGGTCAGGGGCCTTTGTGTCAAGCATTCCCATTTCTTTTTGGACTTCTGCCATATATTTGTGTAGTGTCATACAGCATCATTCTCAACGAAACCTCTAGCCTACGCCCGAGACCCTACACCTTAAATCGACACAGGAGGGGCCTACCGAAAATGGACTCTCTTTCGCTGTCGGACCCCTTTGCCGTCGTGAAGGCCTGGAGCCGGCCTTATGAGGGCTCCATCAGGGTTCGGGTTTAGGGGTTACTAGGGTTTAGGATTGACAGACCTCTGAGTTCGCGAGAGAGAGAGCGGGGTTAGGGTTTCGGGTGTAGGGGTTGGGGTCGAGGTCGAGCGCTAAAAAGGGGTTGGGGTTCAGGGTTTGCTTGACTGCTGGTAAACACCCTGCTTGCGGTTCGGTCTTGGAGTCTTTAGGGTATATGATTTAGGGCTAGTTGCAGGTCTGCTTGCGGCATAACCAGGCGCGACATGCAAGTCTGATGTCAAAAGGGATAGTTGCAGGTTTAGCGGTCCAGAGGGTTTTGCGGTTCCGAGACCCCGGACGTGTTGTGCTTGCGGACCCTTCTTGCGATTCGCAGGCGATCAAGGGCAACAACCGAACGATCAATGCCACTCGGCAAACGGGCGTCTGAGTCGTACACAGAAAGCATGGTTCAAGGTTTAGTCATACTTTAAAGTTTCAGGGATGGTGTAGATCCTATGAACCCTAAACAGGATCAGCCGGGATTGCCCGAGTGTGAGCGCCGAAACAGCACAGCTCTACGTAAATTCCGGGCCTGATCTTCTAAGCTCCTTGACTCCTGAACCTCAAAGCTTAAAACTTGGTTTAGTCGTTTGTTTGCTCTTGTAGAACAGCCGTGTGCAGCTCTTGAACTTCAAAGTTACATCAAAGAAAACTGGTTCGAAATCGTCTCTAGCAGCTTTGAGCGAACTTGCCGGCAACTACTCCAATCCTGTGAGAAGTGTGTGCAGCCTCATAGATTCGAGCACTCTTCCTGGTTGCATGTGTCTAACCCTCAGTGTTTTTTCGTCACCAGGTGCTGCTTATAAATGAAAGCCAACTTTACATCCAAATCCCTCCACGAGGTCCACATGACGAGAACCATCCAGCAGCTCAGCTAGAATCTCCCCTCGGTTCCGGGTTACAGTGTTAAGGCCTGCCTCTTGTCTTGTCGTGTAGTTGTTCCGTGTGTTTCGGGTTTTATTCCAGGTTTCCCGAAATAGAACAATCCACGATGTGGGAGCAGTTCAGCTTTTTTCGTGCGGAGGTTTAGGCTGAGTGAAGCCAAGAGGTTCAGGATTCGGTCGAAGTGTGCCTGGATTTCGCAGGTCTTGAGGTTTCGTGTCTGCAGGCCTTAAACACTTCTGTTTCAGGCTTGTTCAGGAAGCTTTTCTTCGTTTTCATGGGTTCTCTAGCAACACCAAAAAGCCCTAACCCCAAGCACTAAATGAAATCGTCAAGCCTGAAAGCCCTTCCACCCTGAATCCGTCAAGCCCCGAAACCCAAGATTACAAATTCCTGAAGCCCCGAAGCCTAAAGCCCAAAAGCGCGAAGCCCTCAGACCGAGATCCTTGTAATTGTCCATGCTATACCTCTGCGTTCTTGAGTACAACTACTCTATAACGTACCCCAATGCCATATTCTACGTATTCAGACCCTATTTCAGAACCCTTAGCCGTGTAGACTCCTTCTGCAAACCCACCAAACGGAACTCTGTGTAACTACTGATGAGACCCTCGGCTTGCCTAGAGCCCTTGCAAAAAGCACCTAAACCATGGGCCGTAAACCTAAACCCTAGGCGAGTGTGAGTGCCGAAACCTAAACCCCAAGCAGGGTTTAGGTGACAAAAGCTCTTCCCCTAGATCCTTACTTTGTCGGCTGAACGTGAGAGAAAACAATAGTTAAACCCTAAGAAGCCTAGGACCTAAACCCTTAACTCCTAAGCCCTTATGCAGTCTCTAAAGCCCAAAATCCTAGAACCTAGATGCTCCTGCAATCCTACAGAATCAGGAACACGCTGACACCAGTCTGGGATGAAGAATTCGACTTTGCCGTCGCCCCACACCTCATGACGGAGGAAGCTACAAAGTTTTCAAATCTATTGAGGGGATCAGGAGAATAGTATAGTAGGTTGTAGGGTTGCAAGTAGAGGAACCGATCTGTTTCTTGAAGGGCCCTAACCCCTGTAAGCGGGAGGTGGACCGACAATGAGGCGTCTGCATTGCGAGCAACACCACAAGTCTTTCAGCCTCTAGATAGGGTGCAAGGTTCGGGGAAACTGGGCTTTGATTGTCCCGGGTCCACCTCAACTTGGGGCCGTCGGAGTTAGGCTTTGGCGCAGGTCTAGGGTCCAGTCTGAACTTCGTGCCACTGAGGTCCTGTCCATCGCATGTTGCCATACCATGCAATCGGAGAATGGCAGCTTGCAGTCTTGCAGTATGCAGTGCCAAAAACCTTGCAGTAAATTCGCATGCAACTGCACACATTTGGCATATTATTCGATCGCCTCCTCGCGATGCCAA